ACTGGCAAAAAGATAGACCTGAGGACCAGTGGAACAGATTAGATAATGCAGACACAACTACAAACACATTCAGTCAGCTTATCTTTGACAAAGGGGCCAAACACATTCACTGGAAGAAAGATAGGCTCTTCAATAAATGGTGCTGGAAAAACTGTCTCTCTACATGCTAAAGACTAAAAGTAGACCCATGTCTATCACCACTCACTAAACTGAAGCAAAAATGGACCAAAGATCACCTGAATATTAAAGCAGAAACACTAAATCTACTGGAAGAGAAAGTAGGTCAAAATCTTGAAGACATAGGGGCAGGCACAGTCTTCATGAACAAAACCCAAACTGTATAGGAAACACTTCAAAGAATCAACAACTAGGATCTCATCCTATTGAAAAGCTTTTGTAGTGGAAAAGAAATCACCAATAGAGTAAAAAGACAACCCACAGAATGGGAAAACATTTTAGCTAACTATCCCTCAGACAAAGGTTAGCTTCTTTTAACCTTTTATTTTTTTCACTATTAGATGCTATTTAGGTATGTTCCATCTTCCTCACTTGTGGCTTATGCAATATTGCTGGTTCACTATCTTAAAAGATTTTTAGAAGGAACATTGGATTGGACAAAAAAAATTTTCAAATGTCAGTTTACTTCCTTGACATTTACCCTGACAATTATGGGACAAGAGAGAGAGAGAAGAGAAAGGGAGGAGAGAGAAGAAAAGGAAGTGGAGGAGACAGGGAAGGAGAGACACAGAGACAGAATGATGTATATACTGGAAAAAACAAAAGTAACTTTATGACTTTATCACACTCAAGAGACATGCTTGCTAATGGAGGTACTTGTCCCATTTGAGAGAAGATTATGTTTTGAAAGAAGCTTTTTCCTAGGCCCCTGGTAGTTACATATAATTGCTACATCCTGGGAACACAAATGGGATGAAAACTCAGCAGATGTGTCCTTTGGAGGTCACTTGTGAGACGTGGCTTGATGTGCACTATAGCAAAACTTATTCTGAGATTTTTTTTTTACTCCCCCACACAACGACTCATCTATTGGTCTGAGACATTAAAATCTGTGATTTTAAAAGATAGACTTGGAAAATACTTTTAACTCTAGCATAAAGTGAACATTATCAAAATAATAACTACCATTTATTGAGTGCCTGCTGTGTGATAGACACACTGCATATATTAACAGTGTTCAGAAACTTTTATTGAATCTTTTATTTTTTACATAACCCTAAGAGACAAGCAATACTATTTATTTATACATATATATATATATAAACTGAGGCTCATCTCCCAACTAATACAAAAGTTTTCTTTTTTTTAAAATGCGCAGCAAGCATCACTGAAGAATTGTTTCCATTCCCTGTTTCCAATTCTTTCTTTTTTCAATTTTTGAATTTTTTTTATCAAGACTATTTGCAGTACATACAGTTTACAATCATCTTGGAAAGTGGGTACATGTGCACGGTGCAGCTTGTTTCTTTTTTAAATCCCCTTTCCTTTCCCTCTCGTCTCCACCCCATCCTCCGCTAAATCTCCTTTCTCTCTCCATTTTCATTCTCATTGATGTTATTAATCCTAGCTCAAGTTTATTGCATATAATATTTATATTCATTGAGGTTATTAGGCTTCTGTACATGGCATATCTTTATTCTACTTAGTTTCCCTTCCCCTCTTGCATCCCCTCCCCTCAGTTTCCTGCACCCCTTCCCATTTGCAAGAGATGCACCCGCATCTCCTTTTAGCCATTCCATATTATGATCTTTGTCTGTACTTTGCCTTACTCAAATGAGAGATATCATACAGTAGTTAAGCCTGTGTGCCTGCTTTATTTCACTCAATATCATATTTTCCAGTTCTTTTTTAGAGTCACTTCAGTCACATCCTTGCCTTCACCAGTCCATAAAAGCTGCTCCATCTCTGTCTCCAATCACCTCTAAGTTCCCAATCCGTGGGTCAATTCTCAATCTTAATTTCCTTTGATCCAATAACAGCATATAAGACAGTGAATCACTCTTACCTCCTTAGTACACTTTGTTCCCTTTGTTTTCAGGGATACCACACTTCACTGAAGTCTTCCAACTTCACTGATCCTTTACTGATTGTACCACTTCTCTGGGGTAGGGCTTCAGAAATCAGCCCTTAAAACTCATGTCTATTTCCATCATTCAAAAGGTGGTCTCATCTGGCCTCAGCATTTTGTAGGCCATCTATACACCCACATCTGTACACCTATAATTCCAAAATTTATTTTTCTAATATAGATTTCTCCCTGGAACTTCAAACTTGTGAATCCAATTCCCATTCAACATTATCTCAACAAAGAAGTCTAATAGACCTCTGCATATGTCCAAAACACTGTTCTTGGTCTCTCCACAATCAAAAGGTAAAAAAAACATTGTAAGGATTAGGATTGTAGCTCGGCATTAGGATGCTTGTTTCACATGCACAAGACCCTGGGTTTGATCCCTAATTCTACCAAAACAGGAGTAGTGTGCACTACAACATCACCTCGTATAAGTTATATATGCTTTAATATTAGGTGAAATGTATAATATTTAATTTTCCAATTTATAATTTTTAAAGGTTTTTTTTTAAAGGGAAGAAAGAATGAAAACCTGCTCGAAATTACACCCTTTCTCAGATGAAGAAAGTGTCTTCAACCTCGGGTTGTTCGTTTTAAAACTTTGGAGTCATTGCTGACATCATTTTTTTCTCATTCACCTTTCAAAATATATACAGAATTCAACCATGCTCACCATCTCCATTGCTACCTCCCCATCCTTGGGTCTCATCAGTAATGCTTCTGTCTGCCACACACAGCCACGTGTCCAGGTCCCTTTTCTCTTTGCTCAAATGGCACTTTCTCAACACAGCTTACCCTGACCACCCTATTTGACACTGTAACCTACATCCTCGCCCCACAATCCCATGTCAAAGAACCCTGATCAACTTTCCTTTAGTTCCTGACATTTATCACCTCTGAACACATCAAATAATCTACTTACTTATTAAGTTGTTTGCTGTCTGTCTCCCCCTGTTAGACTGTAATGGCAGAGATTTCCAGCTGCTTTGTTCCCTGTGATATCCCAAATACCTAATCAGTACCTGGAACATAGCACCCATATATGTTTGTCGGCTTGAATTAGCATGTCTTGCCAAAGTTTCATTAAACAGTGATAGGCCTAGCTTTCAAACTTCAGCCTATGTAATAACAAGTCCCATGCTCTTGACAGCTCCATCCCCCAGCAGCGATTCACAGCAGGTATGCATAGAACCCTTCTTGTAAGTCAAGAAAGCAATGTATTGTTACAGCCGAACATACCAAATGTTAGGATGGAAATAACATTGAGTTGAGCAGGTAATGCAATATAATGTACTGCTCAAGTTGTTATGAAGGTAAGCTTTACTGGCTTTAACTACTCTTTCGCTGTGTAGTCAGGGCAGGGCAGCCCATGTTTTTCCAGATTTTATTTCTGGTTTTAAAAAAAAGTTATGAAGGACACATAAACCACAGAATGGGCTTTATTTCATTTACGAAGCAAAGAGAAAAAAAACAGAATAACAACCACAAAACCAGTGACAATTGTCCTGAAGGAGCACAGGGAAAAAAAAAATAGTAGACTCTCAGGTGATTTGGAATGAGCTCAAGAATTGCAGCTAAATGTGATTTTTGACCAAGTCATTTCTTTGTTTATAAAATAAGTGGTAAGGTAAAGATCAAAACTAGAGCACCCATATGATCGAGCAATTCCACCCCTAGGTATATATCCAAAGGAAATGAAATCAATACTGTCAGAGAAACATAGGCCCTTCATGTTTATAACTGCATTGTGCACCATATCCAAGATACAGAAACACCCTTAGTGTCCGTTGACAAATGGACAGATAAGGAAATTGTGGTATATGTACACATGGAACACTATGCAGCCTTATAAAGAAGGCAATCAGATCATTTGTGACAACATGGATGAGCCTAGAGAATATTGCATTAAATGAAATAAGTCAAACTCAGAAATAAAATACAAGTACTGTATGATCTCAGGGCTGTAGAATCTTTAAAATGTCAGGCTCATAAAAACAGTGGAAATAAAGAGTGGAGCAATGGTTGCCAGGACAGGAAAAGGGACCCTACATTGGTCAAAGGATACAAACTGTCAGTTATAGGTTCAATCAGTTCTGAGAAGCTGCTGTAGAGCATAATGATTCCAGTTAATACTATGTATTATCTACGCGAAATTTGATGAAAGTACTAAGAGTGGATTTTAAGTATTCTAGGCACATGGCAAGATAGCTGTGAGGCCATAAACATGTTGATTAGCTCGGCCATGGTGATCATGTCACAATGCATACATATATCAAAACATCACGTCATACACATTACATGTACATCATTTTTATTTGTCAATTATACCTTGATCAAGCCAGAAAAAGTCCATTGCAAAGTACAGGGCAGCCCTAAATGACCTGCTCATTCTCCTCCAGCAGTGATCCTGTATAAACTTATTGTTTTGGTTTAAAGATAAAGATGTGGCTAGCAAAAAAAATAAGTCTCCAAGAAGTTTGGGAAGCATTTTGATTCATCTAAATTTGTTCCTTTATTTAGTTAGTGCCTTGGGTGCAGAGGGTTGAATTAATCACGCTCAGCTCACAGCACATTTATTATCTTTGGTATCTTGTTTAACTTATTTATTCCCTGTCATACCCGCACTTCACTCAGTTCTCTTCCTCTCTCATTAGTAACTAGTGTTTTCTGCTTCATTACACTATTTTTGCTTGTCTATATTCTTAGAAAATGTACATTATGTGGAGTGAATGCCTTTTTAATTTCTGTAAAGTATATATTATTAATATATATTTATTCTGTTTCTTACAGTTGTTATTTTTTTACCTATCCCCTTTTTAAAAAAACTACGCCTGTTGCTTTGTGTACAACTAATCCTTTGCTTCCAACTACTGCAACCTACTCCAGAATGTGTGACCTGTGAGCAGGTCATTTAGGGCTGCCCTTCGCCTCTGCACTCTCTCAGTGATGGATGCCAGATTGCCTGCAACTCCTTGTCACCATAAATAATGCTGCGACGAGAGGCATTCCAATTTAGAAAAGAATTGTAGGTGAGAGTGCAAATAGGGAGCTGTTTCTGAGCTGTGACTGGAATGATGAAGCGCTTCCGGTAGGGTCTCCATTTCTCCAAGGTGCTGGAGAGCCTCTGCTGAAGGAATTAGACCCAAGTGCTTCAGCCGGGGTAACAAGCAGGACGTGGGCAAACATCATTCCTTGGCACCACAAGAGCCCAGAGTGGACTAGTAAGTACTACGAATCAATCAACTCAGTCAGTTGGGGATTTTTATTAGTACACGTTTGCAGCGTGACATTTACATTCATTTTGGGGAGTAGGGACATGTACATAACACAGCTTGTTTCTTTTTCATCCCCGCTCCCCTCCCCATTTTAACACTGTGTAGATGTTCCACCTCTGCCCTCACCCCCAGGGGGTGACCCCCACGCAGTCTCCCCAAATTGTCCAGACCGCACTCTGGGGCCTAAAGCGCATCTTTAGAGGGCCTACAGATTCCGCTTGCATGCTCAGGTCATCTATTCTCCACAGCAGCTATTTTAAACCTCTGTCTCATCCCTGTCCTCTCACTCTCACCTCCTTCTTCACGGAGAAAACAGCAGTGATCAGACCGGCGTTCCCTGAAACCCGCGTTACCAAGCCCAGAAACTCACCTGCGTGCGTGCCCACGCTTGCGCCCTTTCCTGTTACAAGGGGTCTCCCTCCCTTATGTTGGAAAGGATTCATTCCATCTGTGTTGGGGATCCCACCCTTCCTTGTTGCTCTGTGGGTTAAACTGTAGCCCCCCTCGATAGTCCAGCCTCTGTAGGTGTACTAACTACTTCTTATAACCATTTAAAAGTTTTTAAGTCTCTCTGATATAAATATCGCTTTTCATTTATGTGTTTCGTAGTACTAGGAATTGAACCCAGGGTCTCTCACATGCTAGGCAAGTGCTCTGCCACTGAGCTATAACCCCAGACAGTTTTACTTTTTTGTTTGAGATGCGGTCTCACTAAGCTGCTCAGGTTGGACTCTAACTTGCAATCCTCCTGCCTCCTGAGTAGCTCCAATTTATGACCTCCTCTCCACCAGCTCTTGAAACTTATAACTAAGTTTATTAAAAGGGCTACATTTGTTTTCCCTCTGTCCTCACTGCTCACTCTCCTGGATCTAACCAAAGTTTCCTTGTCATTAAGTCCAGAAGACACATTTTTCTCCTTTTACTACTTATATTCTCAGCAGCGCTTGTCACTATTGAGTACATTGTCCTATATGAGCTGCTTTCCTTGGTCTACAGAGCACCTGATATTCCTGGGCTTCTTGCTGCCTCTGTCCTTTCTTTCAGGGTCTCCTTTACAGGCCGATCCACCTGTGCCTGGTCCTCAGTGTTCCTTAATTCCGGGCCTACTTGTTTCCATTCTCCTCTTCATACTTCCAGTTGGCAATCTCCTTCATTCCTCTGGTGGCTCTGACTGCCACGCTTATTCCCCAAATCTATGTCCCCACACCTAACTGCTCTTTCTGCTCCAGACTTACATAGCTAGCTCTCTTCCAGATGTCTCCATCTGAGTGTCCCAGGCCTATCTCAAAGGCTTATGACCCAAACTGAATTTATTGTCTTCCTCAACGAATTCCCTTTGAATACTTCCACTTTTACTATATCAGGGATGCTTACCTCACTGTGTATATTCTTCTTATTATTAAACTTTTCATTAGAACCTTCATTAGAACTATTAACTACAACTTTTAAATGAGAACTTTTTAAATTTTAAAAATTAGAACATTTAAAATTTTAAATTAGAAAAGTTATGTACTCGTGTTATCAGAACTAAGAAAATATAAAATTATAAAAAACAAAAAAGTGAAAGTCTCACCAATCCCTCTCTCCAAAAGCATTATTAACAATGAGGTATATATCCTTATAGACATTTTTGGTACATAGATACGGATATCCATGCACATACACGTGGATAGCACATACTTTTCCCTCAAACACCACTGCTGTTTTTACTTATTCTGTAGTTTATCTTGTCATGTACTATCACGCAACTTGATTTTAGCAGAACATATATTGTAGATATCTTTGAATTATTAATCATATTGCTGCAATTCACTCTTTCTATTGATTGTGTACTGTTCCATACTATGCTCAATTTAAATTTATTTAACCATTCTGATATTGAAGGATCTTTAGCTTATTTCAAGTTTTCATTATTTCAGGGTTGTAGTGAATGATCTTGCTCATAAATCTTTATACCCTTGTGCTAGGATCAAAATCAAGGAGTGAGATGTCTAAGCGAAGAAGTATGATCAAAAATACTGTGAATTATTAATTTTTTAAAATTTTATTACAATAAAAATCTTATGGCCATTAAGCGCCCTCAAAATACTCCCCGCTGCTTTGAGCACACTTCTCTTATCATTCTTGCCACTTTCTGAAGCAGTTGTGGAAGTTCTCTTTCATGTCTTTAGTTGCACTATTTTGACTGGTTCAATGTCCTGAATCAACTGAAAACATTTGCTTTTCACAGTCGTTTTGATTTTAGGGAAGAGCCAAACAGCACGTGGTGTCAGGCCCAGTGAATAAGGTGGATGAGGACATAGTGCATTGTTTTTATTTGACAGAAATTACTGGAAACATTTGATCAATGAGGGGTGGTCAGAAAATACTGCAAATATTTACACTTTAAAATTTATTACACTAAAAGACAAATCTCCATTAGTCCTTCTGAAAATATTCACCCTCACTTTGAATGTGTTTATCCCACCATTCTTGTCAATATGTCTTTTACTTTAGTAAGGGTTTGGTTTTTTTTTTTTAAATATTTAAACATTTACCATACCTCTTGATCACTCTTTGTTTGTGTATATTTCAGTTTGGATAGGTACTGCTAAAGTACCCTCAAAACTGTAGTTTCCTTTTACTTTCTAGTTGAGGGAGAGTGTGCATAAAGTGCGTAAAGCATACTATTTTAAGTGTATAACTGGATGAACTTCTACATGTGTATATACCTGTGCAACCACCATCTATGTCAAGACACATTTCTACCATCTTAGAAAGCTCCCTCTGGTCCCTTTCCAGTACGTGCTTTTCCTTCAAACACCACTGTTGCTTTTATATAGTCATCAATTACTCTTACCTTTTTAAATAAATGAAGTCATAAAACATATTCTTTAATGTCTGGCTTGTTTGTTCATATTATTGTGTATATCCATAGTTGATTCTATTTTTACTGAAAAGTAATACTCCACTGTAAGAATGTCCCACAATTTGTTTATCCCTTTACCTGTTGATAGACATTTGAGTTGTTTCCTTGTATTTTTGTGTACACATGTTTGCATTTCTCTACAGTATGTAAGTCAGGAGTGGAATCGCTGGCTCACGGGGTATGTTGAACTTTATAGGAAACTACAGAACAGTTTTCAAAATAGCTGTACCTGGTGATCTCCTACTAGGTGCATAAATTGATTGAACCTTCCATTAGCAGAAGGTGAGAGTATTACACACTGAATTGTTACTGCACATTTGTTTGTCTTCCCAGAAAATTCTAAGAACTATGTCTGTTCAGAACTATGTTGTTCAGTACTTCGATGCTCAATAGATATGTGTGGAATTGGACTAATAATTTAGTAGCTACTGCTTATTATGCCTAAATATCTCTGCCACACAGCTTGAGGAGTTAACACTAATATTACTTTGGACAAACTGTTATAAATGTAGATGTTTTATCACCCCGATGACAGTCCTAGTTTCTCGTGAACAGAACTGTGGATTTTATAGCATTGTTCCTCCTTTATGGTGGTGAGATAGGACTGGTGTAGTGATGATCATGCCGTATTTGGTTAGCTAACATATTCAAAGAAAGATAAACCTCACTGAAACTTTTACTTGCTCCCATTTTTGAACTTAGGTCTAAAGGAAGCAGAGAGAAGAGAAGGATTCTTTTCCACCCCTGACTAGTTGCACAATCACCAGCCCCACTACAAGGAAGTATTTCCCCAGCCTCAGGTCCTTAACCTAATTTCTTAGGCCCACTAAAGACCTAGATGATGCAGGCTGGGGAAGTGTGATCCACATAATGTTGTATCCTTATGTCTCTACTGCTGAAATGGCCAGTATCTAAAGATTCAGTGTAGCCTAGGTTTGTATTTTTCCCCGGCAATTACCTCAAGTTTCCCATTCCCTTGGGAATCCGTAGGTTAAGGATTCAAGAAATCTTTCTTGTATGAACTAGGCCTTCATCAAAATTCACTGCAACTCAGATTCATTTCCATTTCTAGTCCCATTGTTGCCCACAACCAACTGAGCATGATGGATGAGCTGGCTAACATTTTGAAGGTGAAAACTATCTATCTATTCCTCTAACCATCTATCTACCTTGTCCCCTTCTTATATGAGTGCCTTTGCCCTATTAATGTAGCACATCCTTCAATCTTGCCTTCCTTCACATCTAAATGATGGAATATAAGCAAAAATTCTCAACTTTGTTTCTATGATGAACACTAGGTTAACATAAGTAAATCTTGGAAACTTGGGAATTTGCCAGTCCTGACTTTTTGTTTAATTTACATATTAATTTGTATAGGACTGCATATGTTAAGGAAACATCTGTACTTTTCTTATGCATTTAGATGAGATACTTTTTTCAATATTTGAAGTTACTGCTTATTATTGATTTCTTTTGGTCTTTTTGAAATATATCACATCAGAGTCCACCAATGTGGTGCCCTGAAGGCCACCTCTTTTCTATCCCACTTTGTGAATATCTTGCCAGTGGCACAGTAAGATGGAGAATGCAAGCAGCATGCTTCCTAGGTTTCCTCATCAGGCAATGGAGTCCTCCCTCATCAAAGCTGAAGTGTTTTGCAAGTCGGGATTAACATGCATTGTCAGATATTTTGGGGGAACTCTTAGAAAGCTGTCTATTGGAGCATCTTCAAAAATGTCATCAGTTGTGAACTCATCTGGAGGGATGTGGTAAGGCAGAAGAAGACAATTAAACACATTTTCATATATTGATTTTCTTTAGAGTGAGGTTAATCTGTGTACCTAAGATCTCTAAAAGTCACCTTTTCTAACAGCACTCATCTGTCATCCAGGATGCTTATCTCGAACTCTTATGTTGCTCTCTCAACCCTGCCTGATTCATCTTAGCTTTAAGAAACAAATGAATATGTGACTAAGACATGGGAATGTGGAGGAGAAACCTCCTCTTCTAAGTACTACTAGGCCCTCCTGAAGAAGTGCGCTAACTGAATTAGGCATTCATTCAAAGAAAATAGATTCAGACCTAAATTGTGTGTGTATGGTAGCCATAATGTGGGATTTTAATCTCTATCTTCTCATTCAGTCCTGTCACCACCCTAATTTCTTGTCGAATGACTTCTCCCACTCTGTGGGTATTCTTGGGGGAAATGATAAATCAAAACTTCCCTCCAACCACCCCCAAAACCAGCTCCCTGAAGGGCTTTTTTTCTGCCACATTCTTTCTCCCATTGCTTAATAGAGCATACAATTTAGTCTCAGCTGATCGGAATTAGTCTTGAGGGACTTTGACTCTTAAACTAGTAAGACGAGGACAGAAGAAATTGCTGTTTATTTTCCCCAAGAGTGGTAACCTTAATAGGAAGTTTCCCTACTAGAAGACCTCTAGCTTTTTAAATTCTTCATTCTTTAATATTTCTGTACATTATTTTAATTTTTTTTCTTGGACACTTTTTTTTCTTGGTTAACTGGTCGCCTCTCCCAGTTGACTGGAACTGGTGATATGATTTGCTCAAAGACATTTGGTTCCTCTTTCTGGCAACCAAAGAGCCTTGACTGAAATGTGCTGGACACCAAGGAACAGCACTAAGCAATGCAGACAAGGTTCTTGTCCTTGGGATGCTGACCTATGAAAGGAATACAGAAGTTTACTCAGTACTAAGCTAAGGAACACTGGATTTGGAAAATTCAGTGATTGTTTTCATATACACATATATTTTATTCTATTATGTATAGACAAGATTATTCAAGACTACTCTAATAGGGGTGAAAATTATGGCAATATGGGAGAGAGGTTGAACTCAACTCTACTGAGGTATGGCAAAAAGTAGGGGAGTTTTTAAATGCCAGGTGAGTTAGAGGAAACTTACTGGAGAAAGTTAGGGGAGTGGTTGTCAATGTTTTTGGCCATCAGAGTTTGCTAATTTGTACCTGAAGATAGACTCATCCTTTTAGAGACTGTAAGACAGAGGCACATGTCTTTTTTGAGATTGTATTTCAAAGGGCTGGCTCCTAAATTCTTCAGAAAGATGCTTCTCAGTTGTAACACTGGCTAGAGAGTAGGAAAGGATTTATATCTTTAAAAAGCAGAGACAGAATTAACAATTCCAAGTCTTCTAAACCAATGCTCTAAGAAAGGGGAAGTCAGAGGTCTATTATCAGGAAGAAATCTGTCTAGAAAGTCATCAAGCTAAGGGAGACTTTTAAGCCCATCTTGGTCAAGTGCCTATCAGATGGTCAAAACCTATCAAATGAAAAAGATGCATGAATGCATATACTGTAATTATTTATTGGACATTGAGTTGCATTAGCTAAAACTTTGTTATCTAAATACTATAGACATAGGCTAATTATTTAATTCTAAAGCTGATCTAACTATCTTATTTAATTACAGATTACTTTTATCTATATCAATATTCTGCTTGGTACTTCAATTGCCCACTCACTTGTTGATGTAAGCAGAAATTGCTTCTTTAAAAAAATTTTTAGATTATGACTTTTGCTTAAGAATAGCACTTGGCAAGCAGTTCCCCAGTAGAACATCTTCTGCTTTCTTGTGAAAATGCCTGAGAAGCCACTGAAAAGTGAAAGCATCCTCACAATTCCAGCTGAGAGGGAAACATAATCTATCCATTGACAGAATCCGCCAGGAATTAGCAAAAATAATTAGCATTTTAACCTTGTGCCCCTCATTGAAACACAGCAGGAAAGAGATTATTAAATGTCATGTGCCCCTACCTCATAAACTGTCACAGGCCCCAAAGCCCAGAATCTGTTAAAAAAAATTCCAACAGGCTTCCCACTTGGAGAAATACCGCTTTTTGAGATAGTGATAACATTGCTATTTATTCTTCCCAAGAGTGGTTCCCTTATGAGAAGTTTCCCTGCTAGGAGACTTCTAGCCTTTTCAAACTTTATTCTACTCTCTCAACTCATAATTTTAGACTATTCATTTACTCATGCATATCCTGGTATGCGTGTGACAAATATGGAGTGCTTCTGAAGGGCCAGGTGTTACAAGTCTGAATTTTATCCATTTTCACTTGCGTTGCCTAATCAACCAATGTATAAAAAAGGTCCTTCCTCCATTTCTTCAAACTCCTCATGTCCTCTAAATGCTTGAAGGCTAAGACCAGGAGCATACTAATCAATCATAGGTCTATGAAGATATAAGCCATACTTCCTCTTATCTTTTCACCCTCTCAAGACTTCTCATATCCCTGGGTGCAGGGAAAGTGGGCCATCACACGTGATCACTGTCACCTGTGGTATTTCTGATGCAACAGTAAAGAGTAGGGTCCTGGGTAGGAGCCTCTGAGCTGCCTCAGAGAGAGTTTAGTACAATTCAGAGTGAGCTAGCTTGCCCACAGGAACATCAGAGAATGAAAATCCAGAGCTTGTGCCCTAAGCTCCAGTGGATTTTGTAAATGTGTTGGGTAATGCTTACTAAAAAGGATTTGCCTGTGGTATTAAAAAGTCGAGTCCTGCCTTATCCAAGCTGCCTTCTTACTCTCACTGGTTCCACTTAGAATACCACACTTCCAGCCTAAGGCCTACTTCATTTCCTGCCCACAAAGCTCTTACTTTCCACCATATTTTTGCTTTAATCATTCACTATTTCAGTGTGTTTACCTGGTCTCCTCAGGTAAACAATAAAGCTGCTGCAGGTAGTAGGCTAAAAATGATGTGTCTATAGTCTGTATCTTTCCCTTCATGTGAAGGCTTAATGAATACCTGGGTGTTGATTGTTGACTGAAAGCAGTCCAAAGACACTAGGGTTTCTTTTCCATAATTACTTGGGTTTGTCTTCAGAAAAGTGTCAACCATTTTGTAGAACCAGGAAGAACAAACCAAAGGATATCCTAAAGGTATTTAATCTCTGCTCTCCCTGCAGTTTCAACCTGTCATCTAATTTGCAAAAATCTCATGTTTCACTAATTAACAGGAGGAGTTATGACAGGAATCATGAACTTTTTTATAAAATAATGTTTTTGTTCAAGACAGCATGTCAGGTCATTAGGGACAGGCTGTACATTCATCACTCCAGCAGAAGCAGCAGCAGCAGCAAACTAATCAAGGTCCTATTACTTGTTGAAAATGAAGTCACGAGCATTGTCACAGCCAAAATGATCCCCTCAAGCCAAACCATTTGCAGAAGGCATATTTCTAGATTTGCTGATTATAAGCAAGTCTCATTCTTAAATCTATTTTGAGTGACGATGACTTCATGGTGTCAATTGAAAGTCATATAACATTCAAGACACTTTGGTTATCATTTAAGTAAGTCCCTTCGCACATACGTGTACACACACACACACACATACACACACACACAGAGACGCACCTTACCATACAGAAAAAGTACACATGAAACCATATGGGTTACAATGGATGTGGGATTTCTGTAGGATAAAATTATATAGGAAAGAATATTAACTCTGATAGCAGATATTCTAGGATTTAAGATTACCTACTTTTAAAAATATTACATCAGCTCATAGAAGGGATGTATTATGGTTTAGATGTAACATATTCCCCCAAAAGTGACACACCTTGGCATCATTCACATAGTGCTGTTTCTGAAAGCATGCAGAATGCAAGAGTTATGGGGTCATGGAGGTTTCCACAATGACTTTAGAAAAAGACCTGGGAGGTTAGGCAATGTTGTATGACAGGATAATAGACCCTGCAGGAGCCCAACAGAGGGAAATACATGAAGCTGTAAGTGTGAAACCAAAGCTGCAATGGAGACCCCAGGAAGTTGAAGTTGAACCTCTGTTGTAGAAAGCCACAGGCAATGAACAGCGTCAACTCAAGACAGAGGCAATATGAGCTGCAACCAGCAAGGCCACAGGGGCATGCTCCAAGCCTTTTAGAATTCACATCTTACCATAACCTGCCCCAGGTATGGACATGAAGCTACAGGATTTAAAATTTTTTACTGCTGACTTTTGGTTTTGCTTTCATCTGATTCTTTTCTATTCCCCTATTCCAGCCTTTTGGAATAAAAATGTTTACCCCGGGCCATTGTATGTTGGGAGTGTTTAACTTTTGATCATTATGGGGCCTCACTGCTAAGAATTTACCTTGAGTCTCAGAGGAGACTTTGGACTTGGACTTTTCATCAATGCTGGAACTGTTAGGACTTTGCAAGACTTTGAGATGAACTAAATGCATTTTCCATAATCAGATGGACCTTTTTAGGGTCAGGGGTAAAATGTCATGTTTTAAATCCAAAAGGTCTCCCAAAATTCTCACGTGTTCCACAGTACGGTTTTGGAAGGTGATTGGATCATGGGGGGCTATATTCATCAGGAGGTTGATCCATTGATGAATTCATGTGCTGTTAGGTGGTGAGGCCTGGTTGGAGGGGTGGGTCACTGGAGTCCTGACCTGGATGGTGTATTCTTATCGCCAGATCCTTCTCTCTCTCTCACTCTTTCTCTTTCTCTCTCTCTCTCTCTCTCACTCTCTTTCTCTTTCTCTTTCTCTTCTTTCTCTTTCTCTTTCTCTTTCTCTTTCTCTTTCTCTTTCTCTTTCTCTTTCTCTCTCTCTCTCTACTTCCTGGTTGCCATCACTTGAGCTTTGCTCCATTATGCCCTTCTAGCACACTGTTTGGTAGCTGGCCTTGATGCAGGCCAAATTCATCTTCTTTGTTCAGTCTTTTGTCTTGGAGCTGACCATGGTGGGTGGAGCCAAGCTAACCATGGATAAATGCTCTGAAACTCTGAGCCAAAATAAATCTCCCCCTCTATGTTGCAGGGGTTGGGTATTTTGTCTCAGCAATGGCAAAATGATTAATACAGGGCAAGAGGGTCCTAAGAGCTTTATAACAGGGACTGGCACCAGCTGTAGTCTGTTTAGCAGTCAGCACTAAATTTTGCTTACAGGATTCAATGTGATACACCTTTAATGGAGCAGACATGGAGGTAAAATGTGGGGAGTAGAAAGGAAGAAGTTAAGATGTACAGTCTTTTACTGTGCTAGGAAACATTCACATCTCATCTCCTATAGGCTTCATTTCAGTTATTTTACATATGTATGATTATCATTACTTCTCAAAATCACACTTCTGGGACGTGAACCCAGCTCTGCTGCCTCCACAGTCCCATCATACACATTCAGAAGGGTAATAAGGAGCTTGACTTATGGTGCTGAAACCTGTTTTTCTTTTACATTGGAAGGGCCTGATTAACTTTATTTATGTCTTCATTTATTTATTGCTCAAAGAGGCAATATATTCTCTTAGTGCAAGTTACAAAAGTTGCAAAGAAGCATAGAATGAAAAGTAAATCTCTCACCCCCTTACTGCCAGTTATCCAATTCCCCCTTTTGAAGGCAATTGTTGATATTAGTTACTGCGTCTCTTTCCAGAATCGTCTTTCTTTACTCACTTGTACACAAGACTAAAGGTTAGCAGCGTGGTTGGCTGAAAAAACTTAATGGTAATATTTGGTATGGGATTAAGAATGTTTATTATCATGCTCAGGCACAGAAGACAGAGTTGGCCAAATTCATCTTCTTTGCTCACTTTGAGTGATCTTTCTCAGCCCCATTCCCCTACTGTCCTGCTTACCCTGACCTATCCTTTCTTTCACCAGCTTCAGAGAGCTGCTGTTCTGATACTTTCCTCAGAACCTCCCTTGCTGTTCCCTCAGGGGCTGTCTCAGCTGAGAAATTAGTCCCCACCAAGGCATGCAAGTGTATCCGGGGATTGATGAGCCACTGTTTTCACAAAACATGTTTACATTTTAATAAAGGGCTTCAATCAAAAGTATGACTTGAGTAATGGGGATTTGGGGTGCTTTGTCATGACAGGCAAACAGGACAATTTTTTTTCCAAAAGGTATGACCTTGTGGCTCTTCCTACATACTTCTCCTGTAGGTGTCAGGCGAGTGGGGATCCTGAGAGTTTGGCCACCTGCAATTGTTTGGCTCCCAACACAATACAGTAAGGCTCTTGATCTTGGTTTGTTTTTTTTTTTTTTTCATCTGGGATGTGTACACTTACAGTTTTTGAAACAAAATCTCCAAAGTATGGAGCTTTCCCCCTATAGTAATATAACTATAGGTTCTGATCTTATCTAAAAAAAGAAACTGTAGCAGTGAATAGGATTATTCTGACTTTAAGATACACTAAATATTATCTCATTCTTTTCCTTCCAAAACAATACTTAGAATATGAGGTTGGAGCAGATTGTTTCAGAAATTCAACATTTTCTCCAATCCAGGGGTGGGGGAGGTAGGCATCTCTGCTGAGATTGATTGAAAAAATTTCTTGTTGTTGAATGGAATTCATTTTGATTTCTGCAGGTAATATTCTTCTTACACAATTAGGCATAACTTTGCAACTCAAGGGAGATAAACAGTAGGGATCTTCGTCAAAGTCATCTGCCTTGAAGAAAAAAAGAACATTTTCAGCTGGGGCATTAAGAACTTTGCACATACTGGAAGCATAAAAAAATTGTGTCAAATGATGGAATGAATAATTAGAAAGGAAGTGAAGGTTGTGCTGCTTTCTTTGCATAGCTTAATATAAATCTGGGGTGAATTAATTCATTCTGACAGCACTGCCTAGGCAACAAGTGTGTATGTTCTTCTTGCATTGTGAATAGCAGGCAGTGTTATTGACCTTAATCTTAACCCGGAGGGAGGTGCCTATTCATGGCCAAACCGTGGAGGACCTCAGAAAGAGGAATAAACACATCTAATATCCCCTGTAGATTTGCTATTCTTATACTGGCAGTTTGGTTGTTTCTCAATGTTGAGAATGCCTGATGGCACAGAAGGCATGATTTTTTACTCTGTGTTAATGGAACCAAGATTCTCGATGCTGCAAATTTTATGGTAGCATCCAAATTTCCGTTTCAAGAACTGTACCTATCTACTTGCTCCACTGGCTGAGTTATAACTACAACCATGAGATCTTTGAGACTAGCCCCAGTCCTTTGGCTCTCCAGATCTACTGCTTGGTACAACATTAAAATCTTTGACATATATTTGCTATTGCTTCTTTGGAAAAAATAAGTACATATTTGGGCTGTGTACTTGCTTATGAAATGGTATATATCAGGGATAGTAGACAAACCAATATGAATTAACCCTTTGGAAGAAATGATACTTGCAAATCATCCCCAACTACTATCTACTGAAGAGCTTCCACAATCCAGGCCTTCTCTGGGCCACACCTCCTCAGTGCCTTCATATAAGCACCAGAACGTACCACAGATTAGTTGCCTAATTTAATAGACGTGTATGGCCAATGAAAGGTTTTTTCCATGTGCATCACTAACTGCCCCAGGTAGAAAGATGGAGACTGAGCAACTCCTTACACTAATCAACTTAACTGGAAAGGTAGTGTTACCTCACAGAGGCTTGAAATTGGTAGGCACTTGGAGGTCATCCATTTTAGCTCTCTTATATTAAAGATAGGGAGAATGTAGCTCTAAACAGGGAAGTGAGGTGCCTGAGATCACAGAGTTAGCGATAAAGCTGGGACTTGAGCCAAAGCCTTTTAACACCAAGTTTGGTACTTTTTAAGTTACCATGCTGTTTGCAGATTGCTTCAGGCCTGAAAAAGAGGAATGGTTTCTGGAGTCAACCATAATTTTAAAAAATACAAGTTGGTGAGACAGTCCTATCATTATCACAGAGAAGGTGAGGGAATGGCTATGGTGAGGCTATCAAAGGGGGCCTGGGGTTGACTTTTGCGTTTAAGAAAGGGAGAGATGAATAAAGGAATCAAAAATAGCGAAGATATGGTATACAAATGTACCAATTCACCAAAAGCAGCATCACTATTAACATACTACAAACATGCACTGGTGAAGTAGAACAATTACAATTAGAACACCACAAGATTTTAAAATAATGAAAGGCAACCAGATAGAGTGCATAATAGCTGAGACAAGAAGGAGCCTGGTATGTGTGTGCACACACGTGTGCTTGGTTTTGAGAAGGAGATATTGTTCACATTAATTCAATATCTCTGGAATGTAAATGTAGGCAACACAGCATCTTTTCTCACCATTTGAGAAGCATATTTCTGAAGGAGTGTCTTGTACAGAGCCTAGAGATTTGAAAGAGGAGCTAGTCGCAGTTGACTTGAGGGATGGTGTCAACAATTTGTGCTCAAAGGTCTTCTTCACTCGCTCTTGTTTATACCCAACATTTACACCACATCTACTGCTCCGATCTGAAATGACACCAAAAATGGTTAAAAATACAAAACTCATCAAATTCTATACTTAAAATGGATGAACTTTATGATATGTAAATGCTTCAATAGTCTTGTTAAAAATATCAAGTCCAATGTGCAGTGTTCATTCATTCTGGTTATCAGCTTCTAGGAAGTCATGAGAGGTAAGTTTGTTCTGTCATATGTGGTCTAGGAACAGCCAATGTCCCTACCAAGGACGTCTGCTTTTACTACAGTGTAAAGACCAGATGTTACTGATAGATCCAGCATAAAGGAGAGAAACCTTGATGCTACTTACAGACTCTTGGAGTTGAAACACTGCCTTCCCTAAAGGAAACAGACTGAACTTTGTATTGAAACTGAGTAAAGCTGCCTGACTTGGACAGATGAACTGTTGGATGCATGCAACATCAGTTTGCCTGCATTGCAAACCTTTTCAAGAGAAGCACCAGTGTTAAGAGGCAACATTAGAGTTCACTACATCATCTGCTTTGCAGCGAGGGCCATGAGAAGGGCTGTCCAGACAGTACACAATCCAGACAATTTAAGAATCCTGAGTTGTTCTCTCCATGGCCACCACTACCCCTTGCTTCTCCCATTCACTCAACTTACTGTTGGTTACTGGCCAGAAGTCCCTGAAACCCAGAGCCTGAAACACAATGGGGATTCAATCAACGCTCTTTTGATTGAATCAAAAGTGAGGTGACATAGAAAACAAGCTATCTGACCTCTCTCCCCCACCAGAGAGCAGACCTGTGCCAGAAGAGTGGCACCCAAGCCCCAGGGGAGCATGGCAAGGAGCAGCAGAGGGAAAGATTAACCAACCAACGTGATCCTGATAGAAAACAACACCTGTGGAGAGAAGGGAGCAACCAGACCTCACAACTGTCTACAGTAAGTCCAACAGCCCACTCAAACTCCTGCCTTGAGACCCACATCCAGCAGAAGACAGAAGGATGATGTTCCCTATCTTCCAGTGGAAGCAAGGAAATGCCTTGTCTTGAAGAGTAACCACAATCTGGGTGAAACAAACAGAGACACCTCTGTTGCAAGGAGGGCACCTCAAAAACCCACAGGCCTCAAAGCTGGGCATAGAAAATTGTGCCTGGCTGGATCCCAAGACTGCGTATCATGGAAAGAAATCATTCATTCACTAACATAGGGATTTTTCTTTGACTGAATCTTTTTTTTAATGTTTCTATTTTGTACTTTTTATCTTTCATTAATTGGTTTTTTTGGGCTTGGGTTTGTTCTCCTATGTTTTTTTCTGTTCTTTTAGATTCTGTTTTTGCAATTTGTATTTTTCCCCTTCCAATATTTTTCCCTTTTTTCTTTCTTTTATCATCTGTTTTTGGTGTTTATCTTTTTTCTTATTTTTTGTTAATTCTTTCCAGTGGCAACTCTATCATTATGAATTTCCTTATACTTCTCAATAGGACCCTCTATCTTGGGGCTGGGGATTTAGCCCAGCAGCACAGCGCCTGCCTGGCAAGCACAAGGTCCTGTGTTCGATTCCTGGTACCGGAAACAAACAAACAAACAAAAGACCCTCCATCTTGCTTTTTCTTGTCTGCATACCTCATCAAATAAATTTTCAAAATTTGTTTTTCCATTCTCCAATTCCCCATACTCTCTACTTTCACAAGTATAACTGTATAACTACTAAGCTTTATACTGTATATCTCTAGATAAATGTTTAACTTTTTGTTATTATTAAATACTTTGCTATTATTACTAGAGGTAAAGTTGTTCCATTTAATAGATATTTACTGTAAGTCAATAGTAAGTCAATATTTGGTTTGACTTAGTGTTCATACTATAATAGATCTCTTTTGTAGACAAGGGTGGTACTTTATTGGTCTGTAGGGTTTGCCAATGTTCTGTTTGTATTCAATGCTACAATTGATCCTACTTCTATTACTATTTCCAAGGTGACATAGCTGTTGCTATTAATTGGTTTTCCTGAGCTGCAACTATCTGGATTGCCTTGAGGTCATTAACAGTACTGTGGCCCACATCTGGAGAACAGGGTACTGGACCAAGCACACTGCAATCTCGCAATTCAAGTAATAAGAGGATGGAATTGCATCTTGGGACAGCGGCAAAGGCTAGCTGCTAGCCATGCCCAGAGAACATCACTGAAAAGTAGACATTAAAGACATCTCCACACTATAAACAAAACTTTCCACTATAATAAACACAAGTTTCAACACAAAACAAACAAACAACAATAGAAACTTTAGAAGACAAGCCAACAAAATTCTTCCAGAAACTCTCAACTACCCCAAAGATAACCTGTGGAGCACTGAAAGGGGGGAAGCCAAAAGCTTCACATCTGAATTATTTGAAATGGTGCCAGGGAAGATAACAAAATGGTTCAATAAGGCAGGTGACAAGCTCACAGAAAATATTCATAATATGATATTGGGCCAAGTAAACAAAATCATCAGTGGGTCTAAAGAAGACACTAATAAGAAAGAAGAGCTGAGCAAAATGATGCAAACAGCATAGAAAAATAAGAGTCCATAAAAGGGCTCCCAATAGAAATCCAAGACATTAAAAATTCCACTGAAAGTATAGGCTACACAATTGACCAGTGTGAGGACAGAGTCTAAGAAATAAGGGCTGCATTTAATCACAAATATACTGAGAGATACTTTCAAAATAAAAAAAAAAAAACATGAAAAATGGATCCAGTTGGTCCTAGGTGATGCAAAGAAGACAAATCTAAGATGAACTGGAATTAGTGAAAACTCAGAAGATAGGACAAATGGTGTAAAATATCTGTTTACTGAAATAACAGAAAAAAATTTCCAAATAAGATAAAAGACTTTAACATATAGATAACCGAGATATATAAAACCTGAATAGCCACAAGCAGGAAAGAACCTCTCCACAACACATTGTAGTCAAAATTCAAACACAAAAACAGAATCTTAAAAGTGGTTCGAGAGAAGCAATGGATCTCTTATAAAAGAAAACCCATTACAGTTACAGCAGAGTTCTCAACACAAAACTCAAAGGCCAGTATGGCTTAGAGTGAAGTGTCTCAAACCCTAAAAGAAAATAATTTCTAATCTGGGTGGACATATTCTGCAAAACTATCTGTTAAAGTCAATGGAGAAATAAAATACTTTCATGAAAAAGAACACAAAGAAATTTATGACCACAAAGCCAGCACTCCAAAAAATTCTCAAGGGTACCCTAGGAAGAGACAATGAAACTAACAATGACAAAAGGTCTAATAGAATGAATACACCAGTTAGGGTGAGCAGTTCAGTAGAAGGAAAATACAGGGAATCAACAACAGAAAATAAGGTAACACCTCTCAGTAATGACTTCCAATATGAATGGCTCAATTCCCCAAGCCACAGACAGGTGGAATGGATCAAGAAAAAAATTGAATGGTATGCTGTATACAAGAAACACATTTGACCAAAAAAGAAACTCATAGAGTGTAAATCAAAGGATAGAAAACAGTACTACATGCAACAGGAACCAGAAAGAAAAAAACAGGTGTAGCTATCTTATATTCAAACATAGCAGACTTCAAGCCAAAACTAATAAGAGGCAATGAAGGTCATTACACATTGGTTAAGAGAACAATGTTACAGGAGGAGGTAGCAATTATTAAAATCTATGCAGCAAACAAAGGGGTACTCAATTTCAAAAAACAAATAAACACAGTTATAGTGGGAGTCCTCAGTACCTCACTATCACTGACACATCAATTAGAGAAAAATCAATAAAGAAATATCACAGTTGAATAAAACAGTCAAAAAATGGATTTAATAGATATATACAGTGTTCCATCCAAGAACAAAAGAACACACATTCTTGTCAGCTGTACATAGAACTTTCTCCAAAATAGACCACATTCTAGCCCATAAATCAACTCAAGTAAATATAAACAATTTAAAATTATATCATGCGTGTTGTCAGACTATTGCAATGAAATTGCAAATCAGTAGCAGAAGAAAAAACAGAAGTTATGCAAATGCATGAAAACTAATCAGTACACTGTTAACTAAACAATGGGTTACAGAAAAAAATCAAGGAAGAAATAAGACATTTTGGGGGACTAAGTGATAGTGCCAGTGCAACATATCAGAATTTATGAGACACAGTGAAAGCAGTCCTAAGAGGAAAAGCTACAGCTGTGAATGCCCACATCATAAAAACGGAGGAAACTCAAGTAAATAACCTAACAACACACCTCAAGGTCCTAGAAAAAAAAGAATAATTCAAATGCAAACCTAGTAAAAGGAAGGAAATCTTAAAGAGCAGAGCAGGAATCAGCAAAATTGAGACAAAAAAATACAAAGAATTAATGAATCTAAAGGTTGGTTCTTTTTTTTTTTTTTTTTTTTTTTGGTTTTTCTCCGGTACCGGGAACCGAACTCACGACCTTGCGCTTGCCAGGCAGGCGCTTTTGCCTCTGAGCTAAATCCCCAGCCCCTTAAAGGTTGGTTCTTAAAAAAAAATAAAATAAACAGCCAACCTAACCAAAAAAAGAGAGAAAAGACCCATATCATATCAGTGCAATTAGGTATGTAAAAGGTGAAATCACAGCAGAATTTGCTGAAATAAAAAACATTAACAACTACTTTGTCAACCTGCATGCCAATAAATTGGAGAACTCAGAACAAATGGATAGGTTCCTAGACCCATATAAATTACCAAAACTGAAACAAGATTTTGAAACCCTGAATAATCCAATAATAATCAATTAAGCTGAAATAGTAACAAATAATCTACCAACTAAGAAAAGCTCACATCTGGATAGGTTCACTGTGGAATTCTATAAAAACTTCAAGGAAGTTCTACGAAAAATACGCCTCAAGCTTTTTAATGATACTGAAGGAAAGTCATACTCCCAAAGGCATTCCCAGAAGCTACCATTACACTGATTCCAAATCAGATAAGGATTCAACCAAAAAAGAGAACTATAGGCCAATCTCTTTAATGAATATAGATGCAAAAATCCTCAAAAAAGCACTGGCAAACAGAAGGCAATGAAATATCGAGAAGATCACACACCATGACCAAGTAGGCTTCATCCAGGGATGTAAGAATGGTTCAACATATGCAAATCAATAAATGTAACATACCACATAAAGAGAAGCAAGGACAAAAATCACATAATCATCTCAACAGACACAGAAAAACCCTTCAACAAAATCTGACATTCTTTCATAATACAAGCACTGAAGAAAATAGATATAGAAGATCTTATCTCAATCAGATAAAAGCCATTTTGGGCAAACCTACCGCCAATATCATATTAAATGGGGAAAAACTGAAAGCTTTCCCTCTAAAGTTAGGAACAAGACAAGGATATCCACTGTCACCACTCCTGTTCAACATAGTACTCAAAATATTAGCAAGAACAATTAGGCAAGAAAAGGATATAAGAGTGATATGTATAGGAAAGAAAGAAGTTCAAATTATCATTATTTACAGAAGACATGATCTTCTACATAGAAAATAAAAAAACCTACAGGAAGACTCTTAGAATTAGTAACCAAATGAAGTGATGTAGCAGAATGCAAAAGCAGCACACGAAAACCAATAATGTTCCTCCACACTAAAAATGAGCCCACTGAGAAAGAGATTAGGGGAAATATCCTTCATAATAGCACCAAGACAAATTACATGCTTAGGAATTGACCTAAGGAAGTGAAAGACCTCTACAATGAGAATTATAGTACTCTGAAAAAAGGAAATTAAAGAGGACATCAAAAACTGGAGAGATATTTCCTATTACAGAATAGGCAGAACACATATAGTCAAAATGGCCATGCTTCCAAAACTATCATACAGATTTAGTGCAATCTTAATCAAATACTCCAATAGCATTTTTCACAGAACTGAAGAAAACAACCCTAAAATTATATAGAATCAGAAGAAACCCAGAATAGCCAAACCCATCCTGGAAAAAAGAGCAGAGCAGGAGGCATCACCACACCTAACCTGAAATTATATTACAAAGGTACTGTGACCAAAACAGTTATGGTACTGGAACAAAAACAGACATGAGGATCAATTGAACAGAACAGAAGATTCAGAAACAACCCCAACTACATTCCACTATTTGATCTTTGACAAAGGGGCCAAAACACACATACTGGAGGAAAAATAACGTCTTTAATAAATGTCATACAGAAAACTGGCTATCCACATGCAGGAGATTGAATCTAGACCCATATCTCTCACAGCGTATTAAAGTAAAATCAAAATGGATCAAAAAACTAAATATTAAACCAGAAACACCTAACCTGCTGGAAGACAAAACAGGTAAAACTCTGGAAGTCATAGGCATCACCAAAGATTTTCTGAACAGAACCCTAGCTGCACAGGAAATAGTACTGAGAATCAACAAATAGAATCACATGAACCCTGGACATGTGAAACAATTAGATACTTCATGGAAGAGGGAGTATAAATGACCAAGAAGTATATGAAGAAATGCTCAGTATCATTGACCATTAGAGAAATTCAAATTAAAACAACACTAAAATTCCATCTTACTCCAGAAAGAATGGCCATCATAGAAAAATCATATAATAACAAATGCTGATAAGGCTGCAGGGAAAAAGGAAACCCTTCTACCTTCTTAGTGGGTGTGTAGGCTAGCACGACTACTGTGGAAATTTATATGGAGATTCCTCAAAAAACTGAAAGTAGAAATTCCATTTGACCCAGCTATTCCCTTTCTAGGTATCTTCCCAAAAGATTTAAAGATATCATGCTACAGTGATACATGAATATCCATGTTTATAACAGCACAATTCATAATAGGTAAATCTCGGAAGCAGCCTATACGTCCATCAAGAAATGAAGGAATAAAGACAATGTGGTATTTACACACAATGGAGTATTACTCTGCCATATGGAAGAATAAACTTAAGTCATTAATAGGAAATTGGATGCACCTTGAGACCATAATATTAAGTGAGATAAATCAGACACACAAAATTAAATATCACATCACTTCTCTTCTATCAGACTCCCAGAGTAAAAATTAAAGAGCAAAATAAAAGATAGATAGTAGGAAGTAGGGAGATAGATCTTTCTCAAATGGGAAGATGGAAGGAGCGACAAAGGAGGGGAGGGATGGGGGTGAAAAAGGAATTGGGATGTGTTACATACTCCACACATGGAACGCAAACATTATGTATTGCAAATATGTGCAAAAGAACAAGGAAGGTGATCAAGAGACGGGTGAGGGGGTAGGGAAGAAGGAGAAAGCAGATGAAAAAGTAATTAATATGTGCTATGTACATCTGCCAACTTCCCACAAGGAATGTAAACCTTATGAACTATACACATGTATTAATAATCTAAAATAACATTTTTAAAAGGGTAAACAAGCTATCCAAGTAACTGGGCCAAAGTAAAAGCTCCACAAGGTTAAAATACAACCCAGGTCATTCTTCGTTTGACTTCTTTCATCTTAGCACAAAAGCACAAATCATTTTCTTCACCTAGAAACAGCCTATATGCTGATACTGATGCTGTATGGATTCAGGTTCATCTGGTCAGCTTTGTATAAAATGTAAAATTCAGAACCTTACCCACACTGGCGTCTTACCAGAAAAGTTATCCAGTCGCAGCCACCCACAGCGGAGGTGTATGTGCCACTGCTCCCGCACACTCTCCTTCATCACGCAGTAAAACACAAAAATGAGGAATCCTAAGTCGGAGAAGGAGGTCAGGCTTTTTCAGTTATTTCATCAGCTATCACCCAATGCCCAGATGCAGGCCTGTTACTGTCACCCTAAATACTACTTCCAAGGAACCACAGAGTCTTTTAGCTTCTTCAAAGGCAGTCTGTATCAAACTGTCATGGCCACCACTGTTTTCACTGATGTTCATCGTAGAGCATGAGAAGTAAGGGCTGCTGTGGTAGCCCTCTAAAATAGCCCTCAGTGATCCTTACATCCTCGCATTCACACCCTTGTGTTATCTGCTTTCACACTATACTAATAGAATGTGACAGAAGTCACTGCAAGTCTCTTCTAAGATTAAGTTATAAAAGACATTGAAAATGTTCCTGCCCTCCATCACTCATGCTAAAGGAAGCAAGCATTTTTTTTTTTCTTCAGGACACCCTCATATCGCTATGGAGAGGCCTACATAGCAAAGGACTGAGGCTTCCAACAGAAGCCTGGATAAAGACGCCCCAAGCCCAGCCAAGTCTTCAGATGACAGGGACCTAGTCTACAGCTTGACTCCAACTTTATGTGAGTCTCTAATCCACAAACCCCCAGCTAAGCAGCTCCTCAGTTCCTGACCCTCAGACACTGTGCAAGATAGGAAGCGTGTGTTGTTTTAAGCTGTTAAATCTGCTAGTAATTTGTTACAGAGCCATAAATAACTAATGTCAATCATCTTTGGCAGAATTCCACTATGTGAAAATCATGTATCTGGTGCCACCAGTTTCCACGGCCAGCCCTCATTTTGCCCTGTAAGAGGATGAGGGTGGGGGCTAAAGGTGCCTATCCACAATATGAGCCATTTTTCATTCCAGCCATCTAAAATATATCCCCAGGAGATAAAGTAGGACTCATGACGATTCTGATTGCAGATTCCCTGGAGGGCCAATTGGATTTCCATGCCTAAGGGTAGAATTGGTAGGAATAACTCCTGTTGATACTGGCTTTTATTTATAGTCCATGTAAAAAGACTTTATCCACAAAGCCTTACAATTACAAATGCCTCAAACTGAAACTCATTTTCCCACTTCTGAACTCACATAAAAACTTGTTTCTCATAATATTTGGCGTATTTAGCCACATAATTTTCTATGTATTGCCCATCTCACTACCCAACTGTCAAAATCTTTGAAAGGCTGAGGTGTGTTTTCTTTATATCTTTGTATCAACCTTCCCTTTGTCTCCAGTAGTATGTATGGCAGCTCAACAGGTGGTTGTGGACTTGAACTCCAAGATATTTCATGCATAAGCTCTCATAATCTCCTACAACCTTAGAAATACCTGCATCAACCTCATAATGTATGTTCTGGCTCAAATACAGCTTAGAAACCTTTGTTCCCCAGACAGAGTTCAGCCTCTACACTGGCAAACTGTCCTGCAGAACAACAAATGAATGATTGGTAGCAGAATGGTCTTAACTCATTGCAAATTGAGCACAAGTCAAAATAGTAAATGTCTTCAAAGCCAATTCAGCTATGGTCTTGGTGGAAATAAAGAATTTTGATTGAACTGGGTGAGAGTCTCTTGCTGGCTTCCCTGGTTTAATCATGCCTCTCACAAGTTCGTTTCGGGTGGGTTTGTTTTAAAAAGGATGATGACAAATAGAAGTATTGAAGAATGGAGCAAATAAGGATAGTGATGAACTTGACAGAAAACTGGGGTATTGTAGCTGGATAAGAGAAAATCTAGAATAATAAATATACAGTGAGGAGAGGTGGTAGCATTAGTCACAGATCTGAAAGAGTTGTCCTGAAAAGGACAAATTATACCTTTTCGGTGTGGTTGGCAGGTTAGAATCAGGAGCAGTGGGAAGAAGCTATAGAGCAACCATGTAGTAACAAGTCACAGCCAGCAACGAGTAAGCAATGACTCCTGACAGGCATCTCATATTTACAGATGGGAAGTCTGAGCGTCCAAGAAGTCCAGTACACTTGACTAGGGTCCCAGAGCTAATACTGAGTTGGCAGTATCCAGACTAAGCACAACCAGATGACTACAGAGCCCAAGGCCTTAACCACTGTACAGTCCTACGATTAGGTAAGAAAGACTGATATAAAAATCAGAGCTAACTAGAACTTAAATGCTTGCTTGATAGAATAGTAAGCATCCTGTCCCTGCAAAGTTTCAGGCATAGGCAAGTGACTTTCGGTCACCTCATGGGGAGTTGAACTGGGGAGACTTTAGTTCCCCAGTCCCAGTCTTGAGACTCTGATTTCAGGTGAGATGCAGCAATCTGGTGGCTAAAAAGAACATCCTGTCTCATTAATTCTCCCGAAGGCTTCACCCACGTTTGTAACCAGACAACGGTGCCAATCCAGCAGCATTTACGCTTTTTGAGCAGCAGCCACCTGGAAAGTGAGGTAGCAACCTGAGGACCACAAGTCCCAGTCTAAGAGCAGGTAAAACGCCTGTAGATTCGGCACAAACGAGGGGCAACAGTGTTCTCAAGCACTTATTACTGCTCCGATTTCTTGCACGGAGTTTAGTTACTTCTCAGACTTAAAGGTTATTCTGCAAATTCCAATGAGCTGCCTGCCAGCTCTCCCTCTCCTCCTGACAGCCTTCCTTTTTCTTTCCAATAACAGATTGATCTGCTTACTCACTAGAGCAGAGGCATGAGGGGAGATGTCAGGTTTTTGTCACCTGCATGTTTCTTTGTACACCCTGCCTTCACAAATGGCTCATCATGAGTGGAATTTTGTGCGATTTGACCACAGGGCACCCCTCTTTGTGCTGAATTGCAAATTTGTCACTTGTTATTTAAACAGTTTCTTCACCTGTTACAGTTCTTGTTTTGAGGTTATCTAAGGGGTGTGTGTGTGCGTATGTGCGTGCATGCGTGTGTGTGTGTGTGTGTGTGTGTGTGTGTGTATGCGTGTGTAAAATCTGAGTTTGAAACTTAGGGTTCTGAAAACACCCTTGCTACAATATGGCACATTCCATCTTGTAGACAGGACTTGGAACGTTTGGTGCTTGACTGACATACAGCATTTCTGATAGAGACAGCTTGTCTCTGTTGACGCTGGAGCTATGGAACTTTGGTTTCAGTCTTTAAGAACATAACCAATTAAATTCTGCCTCTACCCATATAGACTTCCTGCTTAGATAATACTTTCCTCTTCCATCAAAGGAATGGAGTACTTGTTTTAGAAACACCTCCCTCCCTTTTCAAGTTCAAGACTGCTTTGCTTTCTTGCTCTTTTGTCAGCTTTCTTTTAACTCCTCTCTGGATAGAGTTAACATATTTCTCCTCAGATTAGTGTGCCAAAGAGAAGCCTGGAGTTAGCACTGAGAAAGAAGTCTGCACAAGTGTCTGGTTGCTAAACTACATCTGTGGATATTCCCCACCTAGACTGATTAGTTCTTGAGGTCAGAGCATTGTGCTAGAGATTGGAGTTTGAGTACCTCGGTGTGGGCCAGATCGTTTTGTCCGGAATGAAAGTGTAGGACCATCACCAGGGCCTCAGTCAACATTCTAGATTATAGCCCAATGCTGGTAGCCTCAAAGGACACCAAGGGAGAGTGGTGTGGAGAGTTCCTAAGAAGTCCATCCATATTACCAGACAGATGAAAATGGCATGTGGAGGATGAGCAGCGCATTCTGTGTCTTTATGCATTCCAGTCAATATGTGTCTCTATAGCATTACCCAAGACCCCCAGAAAATGCCTGAAACCATGAGAGTACCAAACTATATATATGTATATATGTACACATATGTGTATATATATATATATATAGTCTTTTCCTGTACATATATACCCATGATAAAGTTTAATTTATAAATTAGGTACAGTAAGAAAGTAGCAGCATAACTAGTAAAACAGAAAAATAAGACCATATACTGTAATAAAGTTGTTTAAAGTTTGTAAATAGTTTACTTCTGGGATTTTCCATTTAATATTTTCAAACCGTGGTTGACCAGATGTAACTGAAACTACGCAAAGTGAAGCTCCAGCTAAGGGAGTGAGGAGCTACTATGTAAGGTTGGCAGAATCTGGTGAGGCACAAAATTCCAGCTGATGAGCTTTACTGCTGTAAAGTAAGATGGTTTCTTAAGGTGTGAGCACAAAATTATGCCTTCTGCCAGGTTGCTCTGTCTCCTACCTGCACGTCTTTGCAAATACGAGGAACATAATAACTACACACAATACATATTTCCCAAGGTTCCTTGCAAGTCAACAACCACAATAATAAAGAGGCCCAGAAGTTTTAAAAATTCTAGTTTAAATAAAAACTTTAAATATTTTCCCAATAGTTTTGAGAGTTTTTTACTATGATAATATATATTCCTGAGAATGAGGAAATATAGTTGGCTGTAATTCTCTAACTTCTTTGGTCATAGGAAACTTTAATTGCTGGAACATCTCATGGAAATCCCAGTGGGCTGCACTTTGGAAGAGGGAGGTTATTGAACGAAAAATACAGAGAGGAGAAAAGGAGACCTTAACTCAGTGCACTGCCAGATTGACTCCCTACTTGCCCCATTAGCCCAAAAGGACTGGACAAACTTGAGGCTAAAAGCATGGAATGGAGTTGTAGATTCTCATAAAATTATTCTGCATGCTTGTTCCCCTTAAGATTTCCTAATAGATTCAAAACTAAAATGAACATTAATACTCAGAGGTATATTAACCAGGTCCCACCTTATATTTTTGCCATTTAATCATTTCACTGATGACTTGTTCCTTTTCCCAGAATAGAAGAAGGATATTAAAAAGCGGTGAAGAAACTGTTTAATAACAGGTGAAGAAACTGTTTAAATAACAAAGGATATTAGAGTCCTGAGCTTGGGATCATCCAATTTAATCAGTTGTGGTGGATTTCCTAAAGGGGGATCTGTAGCAAAACCAAGACGAGAACATTGGTCTATTGCCTTGGTCCGCAACTGTTTGCTGTTAGCCTTCATTCCTGTGTGGCTCCATAATATCTTAGCTTGGATCTTTCCAAACATATTGAGATATATGATGCAAGTAGAGTTCTGGGAACTGAAAGTTTACTGTTTGCATTGTGCAGTAATTGCTATGTTCAACTGGACTGTGAATTTTAAAATGTTAATACAAGTGTGAATCTGTACACTGACAAGTACAATGTGTTCATGCAAGGAATGCTGTAAGAGGTATTGTCAGTCCATGTTTGTTACAGACCATAACCAGCTAGATAGAGCTAAGTCAGCTTACTAGTGCTGCTCCCTACGTCCCTGAGGAAGAGAGAGTGAGCTGGGTATTCATTTGGAGGGGTAGTATCTAGCTAATATTTCCAATGGTTCCCTGTCAAGTCATTGTGAGCAGAGGCCTCCTGGCCACTTTTCTCCCCCTTCAAATCTCTGATACATGACATTATTTACCAAGATCTCTTTGGTAGAGATCTAGCTACGCACAGAAAGGTCAAACAAGCAGTGGTTACCTTGCAAAGTATTGCAAATAGCAAAAAGATACAAGAAAAAGATCCTCACAGGTCCCCAGGCAAAAAAGGCAAACCCCCAGGTGAGGCCAAGTAAGAATGTCAGGCTTAGTGTGCCTTTGAGGTCACGTAGGATCATCTTGCGCCGAGTCTTCTGCCTTTGGGACTTCATGGAATTTAGTTGAGCAAGAACAGTGCAGAACATGGAGAGATTCCCAAAAAATATGAGGCAAAAATAAGCCACCACTGAGACGTAAAAGATAGAATCATCCTTAATCCAACAACTGTAAGAAATAAAGAAGGGAAAACTGTTGTGAAGCAAGGAAACAAAACTCCTGTTTTATAGACACTCTGAGAACCAGCTAGTCAGTTTCATTTAATGCAAAGGCACCTAGATCCAGAGAGGTGAACCAGCTTGACAATTCATTCACGCCCACTAGAGGCAGAGCTGGGACTAGAACTCCGGACTACTGAGTTCCATTTCAGGACATTTCAGAGTGCCAAGGTAGAAGTCTTAGAGGGTATTTCTGCCCTACATATGCAGAAACCTCCCAGTGTAATTCCCTAGGAAACGATTCTGTTCTTCAGAAACAGAAAAGCAAATTATGGATTTTCCCCAAAAGTGGCTCTCCATCCCCCACCTTACACCTGAGCTTATATTTACAGACTGAATTCTGCTTTGCATGATAAATATCACAGTACAAGGCGAAAAGCAATGAATGGCTTTTCTGAATGCTACATCAAACAATGATGAGATGATCAGAGTTAATGAAAATGTAACAAAACAGGGGACAGGTCTAGTTGTACTGCTTTAAAATGTGAGGTATTTGGGTTACAAAAGGCAACACTAGCCACCAGACTGATTAATGTCTCTACAATTTCTATTAAAGAAGAAACATACAGGGTTCATATGAGCAGATACTTCACTTAATAACATTTCCAATTACTGAAGGCATTGTTTCTGGTTTCTCAACCTGCGCAAGCAACTAATTCAACTGTGTGTCAACTTAGCTAGAACTTCTCTTCTAAAAGCAGGAAAATACCTTTGGGGCATGTTGTTCTTGTGATGTGGATAATTTCACATCTGTGTGAGTGTGTGTGTGTGGGTGTGTGTGTGTGCAAGAGAGACAGAGACAGAGACAGAGAGGCAGAGAAACATACAGTTGGGAGGTCATGAAAAATGTAGTTTCCTTAGTGGGACTTAATACTTCTGGTTTTCTGAATATCACTTTCAGCCTTCAAGAAAACTGCAGCTTGCTTTCTTCCCTCCCCACTCCCCTGCCCAGCCCTCTTTTTAAATTTTGAGATAGGTTCTTACTAAGTTGCACAGGCTGTGCTGGAATTTGCTATTCTCCTGTCTCAGCCCTTAGAGTATCTGTGTTTACAGGTGTGCACCGCCACACCCAGCTAGAGAACACTTTAAAATGGAGCAGTGAAAAGCTGATCTCATAGAAGCAGAAAGTAAAACAACAGTTATCAGAGCTGGGGGGAGTATGTGGAGGGAGAGATAGGGGAAGCTAGTAAACTGGTACAAAATTAGACAGGAAGAATAAGTTTTCAAGTTCTAATGCACATTGGGGTGAATACAGTCAACAATGTATACTTCAAATTACCCAGAAAAAAAGGATTTTGAATGTTCTTACTATAAAGAAATGATAAATGTTGGAGATGATAAACATGCCAAATGCTCTGATTTGATCATTACATGATATATCCATATATCAAATTATCTCACTGTACCCCATAAATATGTGCCATTATGATATGCAATTAAAATAATTCTAAAACCAACCAGCACATTCGAGATTATCTGTATGAATTTATTGCCAATAAAAGTTCCCTCAAGGAAGAGAAACTAAGTAGTTGGGGTTAGGGTGGGGCTTACTTTCTATTTTGCCCTTTTTCACATTTGCATTTTGTACCACCTGGTAAATTACCTTTCAGAACATGATTATTTAAAAAACAAAACCCTTAGAGCCATCTGTTTCTTACTAACAAATTCATAGGTGAAAAGTGTCTTTAAGGGAGGAGTAGAGTTGATTTTGTGGTTTTGGTAGTTGAAGAATCACCATTAGATGGATCCTGGGGACCTTCTGAGTCACAAAACAGGCAAGGAGGGAGTACAGAGGGGGAGATGAGAAGGAAAGGGAGAGAAACGAGACAAGGAATTTTAATTAGAAAGCGTCTGCTGCCAAGGGCAATATAATTTTGACCCTCTGAAAACTGTCATCTTAATAAGAAAGACAGAGGAAGCTTGGGAGCAGGACCTCCCACATTTGATTCCAGTCTAGGGGGAGAGGAAATCCATAGTGGATGTGATCTTGTGAGGCAACTCCGAAGAGAGAGGATGTGGGTCAAAGAGAGTGAAATTGCCCTGTGCAGCCCAAAGGATCACACTGTAGCTACACATGTGGCTGCAAAAGGAGGTTCTGAAGAAATGGTGTGGCGTGAATGGCTACTAGTGGATGTGGTTGAGAACCAAAGAGATGGGCTTATACCTCAAGTGAAAAGATATGGAGGAAGGAAGGGAAAAAGGGAAGATGGAAGGAAGAGAGAGAAGGAGAAAGGAGGGAGGGAGGAAAGAAGGAAAGAAAGAAAGGAAGGAAGGAAGGAACTGAGCCAGTTTATTAAAGAAAGCTTTGCAGTCTTTTTCAAGGAAGACTTCGGTTGTGAAAAGGTAGAAAATATTTTCCCATTTATCTCAGTATCTCCTTATACAGGCCCAACTCTTCTAATGGTCTTTTTGAGATTTGTGACAATAATGGCTGCCAGGTATAGCACTTGCCATGGACAAGACAACAGACCAAGCCCTTTATTATATACCTGATATCCTTTTAATTTGCTCATGACATCAAGAGCCAAATTATTATTCCTATTTTCCAGAAAGAGAAATAAAAATTAAGAAGATGCATTTCCCAATTTCAGACAGAGCCCAGGCACCTATTCGTTCCCTGAGTGTGGCTGTGACTACTTTTAGGGAGAAAACCTGAGGCTGAGTTCTCCCTGAAGCCAACTTGAGGACCAAACTCCAGGCCTGGAACACCCCACCAAACCCAGCCCCACCAGAGCCCCGCCACCTGAGAAGCAGGAATGCTACTACTTACAACAGGGTTGTTGGGCTCAGAGTCCCATAAAGATCTTTCCTCACACTCAGTATGACTGCCACGGTGATCGCTGGGACTCCTGGAGTGGGAAAGCAAGCCAGAAGATCTCATTACATTGTGGGAGACAGATCTCTATCAATGACTGTGGGCGCTGATACATTAAGATACTGTTTAAATGAGCCACAGATGTGCGGGCATCAAAACACCATTGTTTGCAAAATGTTTGTGCATTCTTCCAAGTTAAACATTTCTAGGAGTTCTCTAATCTGCTAAACTAAACAGCATGCCGATGGCTCCAATACAACACCCACTGGTTATTAAAAATAGCTCAAGTGCCAAAAAATCAACTTGGCAATAGGAGTGTCTAGTTCATCGCAATGCAAGTTTGTATTGAGCATTTCTTCTTAGATGATGGGGCGCCGATATTTTTCTCGTTTTCAATACTGCCCCTTAGTTCCCGCTATCCTTTTGTGTAGGTCACCTTGGAGGAAGGGCACAGGCAATCAGCTGCAGCTTTCCGTGCTTTTTTGACAGGGAAGCTCTTTCCACACTCGTTACTAGTTTGACATTTTGACTAGATCGACCAGTTAACAACCGGTCAATTCAGCCAGACTATAATAAAGCAATCAGTTCAGTCCAAATGGTCAAGCATGATGTGTGTATAGACACAAGGCTTAAAAATCCAATTTCATGTACATTTGCAAAACTTAATGATTTCTTTATTTCTAAAACTGTTTCTCCTAAGCTAAGAGCACACACCCACACATGTTGTAGGGTTTTGTGTGATACTTTCCAAAGCTGTTCCAAACCCCAGCGTGACAAGATCTTGGAAGGTCCTCCACTGTCTTATTCTGTGATAAACATCACAATCCCTGCAATCATATAGCCTACCATAGCACAGTGTCTAGTATGATGTTTCCCAAGGAGACCGCTCGGAGGCTGACAGGAAGGGAGCAAATGAGGTATCATTTAAGATGGAATTTCACGGCAACCATCAAATTTACATGCTCATATTTTTTTTAAATCCCTATTGGTTGCTTGTTATTGTTAAAAATTGTGACAAATCTACCGCCTTGAACAGGGATTTTAAATAAACCTTTATAGCAGGCTGCTTTGGCATTAGGAAGGTAGAGCTTCAAACCTAAACAGATGCTAATATTTATTTTCCTTACAGTTGACTGCATTTGTCTAATGGTTAAATGCTCCAAAACTCCCTGCAGCAGCTCAACAGTGGCTCCCTGGTGGTCTTGTGTGTATCCACATAGGCCACACAGACAAAGGCTTAGATCTCTGCTTATCTGCATTTTGGCAGAGTTCCCTGTGGTCCTGCGAGAAGGGGAGCCAATGGGAGGCCTATGAGGAGGTGTTTCTCGGTGCTATCTCCTACTCCCCTCCCAGTGTCCTCTGGGAGGCTGTCAAGAGACTGTTCTCATCATCTTCTGGAGTTCTGAGGAGGTGTGGGCTTTTCACCCTGCTTCCTCAGAACAGAGCTGCCAGGCAGAAAACCACATCACTTCCCTTTGGAACTGGATCCTCAGCAACAGGGAATCCCATAACTCTTGTCACAGTTGTCTATTCTCTTTTGTTTTGGTGTCATTCTTTTTAGCATGTGGGATAAGAACTTGGGAGCTAGCACTTCTAGCTATTCTTCTTTTATGTGTCTTTTCAAGCAATAAACTGAATCTAAGAGTGGCTCATTGTGTCTTTCTATACTGGTCAAGGCAGTCTTGCCTTGGCTTTGCCTTGGCTGGTGTGTGTACTTGATACTCCTCAAGAATTTCCTTCCTCAATCAGTTTGGAGAGTCCTCAGAAAACTAGGTCTAGAGGTCCCATTCAACCCAGCTATCCACCTGCTGGGTATTTTCCCAGAAGATCTAAAAACATCATATCACAGTGATGTATGTGCACCCATGTTCATAGCAGCACAATTTGTAATTGCTAAAATGTGGAAGCAACCCAAATGTCCATCCACTGAGGATTGGATAAGAAAATTGTGGTACTTTGATATAATGGAATATTACTCAGCTGTAAAGAAAGATAAACTCGAGGCTTTTATAGGCAAATGGTCACAACTAGAGACCATACTCATAAGCGAAATAAATCAAACATACATGTGCAAGCACCGCATTGTTTCTCTAGTGTAAAGCCTGAAAGAGTTAATTTAAACTAGGAGATATGACAGACATTGGGAATTGATAGGAAAGCACTCATAGGTAAAGGATAACTGGAATATGGGAAAAGAGAAGGAAAAGAAGGAGAAAGTTTGTATATATGTATATGCAGGATAGTTAACACAGGTGTTCTACTGTCCTGTATTTCCTTGCTGAAAGAAATTGTCAGTGAGGCATTGGTTGATTAGCTTTGTATGTCTATATGTGTTTTCATGAGAAACTACATTGAAGATATCAATATGTAATACAATAAGCATTGTTAATTCCCTACCACTCTGTTTGTAACTCTGTAATGTCTGTACTGATCCTTTGCTGTTTTGTAAAATGTTGTCGATCTGTTAGTATTTTCCTCCTTTTATTTCTAAAATAAAAAAAATAAAAGAAAAGAAAAAGAAAAAGAATTTCCTTCCTCCAAGTACCAAGCATTAGCCTTCTCTTCCTATCCCTGTACCCCAGTACTGTGTGGGAATGAGACAATCAGAGAGACAAGAAGCAAGACTGGGGAACATCAACGTGTGAGGAGAAAATGCAGGAGGAAAAGCCTGTGAAAGAGCAGAGAATGCATGGTGAAGAGGAAGGAGGAAATCTGGATGGAATGACAGTTACAACCTTTGCACTATTAGGCATATGTGGGTTATCTGAAATCTCCTCCTCAATATCTTTCAGTTCTCTGGTTGAATCAAGATGAGGGATGCAGGCACAAAGGGGAGTGTATTGACTGCTTTGTGACTGTTTCTGATGATTCTAAATTGTACTGAAACAAATTTTTAGATTATTCTCTGTTTAATATTGCTTTCTCTGCTCCTCACATTAGCATATATAATAACAGTGACTGTGTATCCAATGAAAGCATGTATTATGTTAATGAACTCATTAAAAGGATGAGTAATAATTAGGAAGCTATTGTCTTCACAAAGGCAGTGAAATATAAATTCTCTCTTCCTATGTATCCTATCCGTATACATCCCCTATGCATCCAACATACTTGTTAAACCCCAAATTTGTTTTTTAATTTTTATTTTTATTAGTATATATTTGCAGCACATAATTTTATTCATTGTGAGGAGTTGGTACACGTACATGACACATTTCATTCCTTTAGATAAAGGAGGGAGGGAAAGGAGTTGAGCTAGCCATGATAGTTTTAAATGCTGGAAAGCAAAACAATAAAGTGGCATTTATATTATGAAATATTTCTGGCTTCTTCCAGCACCAAACAGTTCTGATATTTGGTAAGAGTTAGATCATGGCTGATCAGACACCCTGTTGTTGCTTGTATCTAGATATCCCCCCAAAGCCTCATGCACTCTTAGGTGGTGCTTTGTGTAGCTGGCTGGCTCATAGGGTATATGATCCTGGGATTAAGGGTGTGTGGCACTAAAAATTAGTTCATTGATTTGAATTAGCATAGTTCTAGGTGTGGCTGAATGGATTTAGTGGAGACAGAAGCTCCACCCTGGCTACGGGAGGCACCATGCAAAAGGCCTTTAGCCTGGATGGAATAAAAGGAAAGGTAGGTTCACTGCTGCTGCTTGCTGCCTCCTATCTTCCCTGCCACGAACTGTTTCTCCTCTGCAATGCCCCTTTGCCGTGCCACCCTGCCCTACAGCCAGCTGACTATGGACTGAAACTTCTACAAACTGTGAGTTAAATAAACCTTTCCTGATTAACTTCTGGGTGTTAGGTATTTTGTGTCTCAGTAACGAGAAAAGTACCTAAGTCATACCATTTCACTCATTTCGAGTTCCTTCCCTGTTCCTTAAGCAATATGCAAGATCATAGAGGAAAAAAGTGCCAACTATGGAGACAGATACTCTGGTTCAAGGCTCAGTTCTTAGTAGCAGTGTAAGTTTTGGCAAATTACCTTCTGTCTGTTCCTCACTGTCCTCTTCTATTAATTGGGAATATCTCCCATAGAGATACTGAAAGGACTAAATGAGTATATTAAACACATAGAATAGCATCTGGCACATGTAAGAGCTACCTAAGAGTTAGTTGTTATGTCAGTAAGTACGTGTTATAACTGTAACTTCTGTAAAAGAAGAGCTAAAAATGTGATAGGTTCACTGCTACAGATCTAGAATTTCACACAGCACACAATGAAGTGTTCAATACATATTTGTGTTCCAACTCCTTATCACAAAAATGAAAAGTTAAATTTATAGAGCAACATATAAAGAAAAGATGCATACCTGAACACTAGAAAAGCAATGAATTCTTTACATATGATATTAACAGATTTTGGTCCCAAATAATTTGTCTAATGGAGCTTTCCATAGAGTAAATGCATTCCCCAATGTCTTAGCTACTTTCTCATCACTGAGACACAATGCCAGATACCCGCAACCCTAAGGAGGAAAGGTTTATTGTAGCTCACAGTTTATACAGGTTTCAGTCCATAATCAGCTGGATCCAAGGCAGGGTAGCATGGCAGAGGAACATCACAGAGGAGAAAGAGCTCGTAGAATGGCAGTCACGAAGCAGAGAACAATCAAAGGAGGAGGGAGGCAGATAGACCTTCACAGGCCACACCACCACTCCCACCTCTCCAACTAGACTTCACCTCCCAACATCACATTTAATTATTAACTCATCAGTGGGTTAACCCACTGATGAGTATCAGCCCCTATGATCAAATCACCTTCCAAAAGCCCCACCTACAAGTGCGTGAGGGGGGACATCTGGATAGATATAAGACAGTACACCCAAAGTCCATGTGGGGAAATTTAATTTTCAGTGCAACAGTGTTGATAGGTACACTCTTTAAGAGTTGATAAGGTAACAAAGGCTCTGCCCTCATGAATATGTTAATACAGTAATACCCCAGTTCACAAATGCTTCTGTTTGCAAACAATTTGGTTCACAAAGAAGAGTGTTGGGCAAAACTTTGCTTCTGTTCACAAACCCCACATTGGGTGCCAAACATGACCGTGGTCATCTTTCCCACAGAAGCACAAGCAAAACCCTCTTTCCCAAAATCATAAGACAAATTAAGTTTGTAAATCAAGGGACCCACTGTACAGTTATTTTAGGAGTGGTTTCTTTTTGCAGAAGTGGATTCCTTATAAAAAGATAAGTTCTGTCCCCTCCCTCTTCCCATGTGATGCCTTCCACCACATTATAACAGTGCAAGAAGGCCAACAGCAGATGCACGTCTTTGATCTTCACCTTCCAGCTTCCAGAATTTAAGAGATGAATCTCTCTTTATAAATTACCCAGTCTCCAATATTTTGTTATAGCAGCACAAAACAGACTAGCATAGAGCTAAAATGAGAAAGACTGACAGGCTTAAAACAGAGACATGAAGGACAACAACAGATATACTCACCCCAACCGACTAGGCAAAATTTAAGGATATAATTTGGAATGTATATGTTGAAGACTTTGACTAGAGCAAAATACATGTGAACTGCCTCCAGGCCCATCCAAGTTAAGGAAACAAGCAGGAAGTAATGAAGTGCCACTGCAGCTGCGATACAGAGGCCCGCATTCTGAACTGATGACAGCCATGAGTTGATCAGAAACGCTAGGTTCAGCATCAGTAGTGCTGTGCACAGGTTGATCAGGATTTTGGAAGGATAATCTTTTCTAAGCTTGCTGGAAGAAACAGCACAATGTTAAGTTAGGTTGGGTCCCCTTTTAACTTAAACATTGTCACATCTTATCTGTGTAATACAGGAAAAAAGAACTATCTATTAGGATTACTCATCAAACTTACATATACTCATATTTAGAGTCCCTCCACCAGCTTTCCAACTAGCGTCAAAGTATTCCAAGCACAGTGACCTTCACTAACAATATGAATACTGTAGCAGCCTTTGTCAACTGGCCTTTTTTTCTTTTTTCTCTTTACAATTCCGTCATCAGCAGTTTAACATGCTGGATCAGCATATTACTAAACAGCAGGGTGACTATGGAAACCACTTCAACTAGAGGGACATGAATATTTCCAAAGATGCCAATGTTCAGCATTGTGAAATTACGGCCTAAAGTTTCACTAAGTGACCACAATCTTACCTTGTGAAAACTGACCTAGCATTTTCCAAATTTAAAGACATATATTTTCCTCTTTAATTATTTTACACTCTTGATTCAAAATTTATTGATTTAAATTTTGCAATGTTTATGCTCTAAAAATGTGGGTTTTAAAAGTGAAGTAAATTGTAAAGTGCACAGATCTTAAGAAGGTACTCAGGGAATGTGTACATGTATATACACACCTGTGGAACTTCACACAGATCGACATGTTTAGCATCTCGGAAGGTTTCTTATGCTTCTCCTTCAACAATCCCCACCAGACTCATATTCTAACTTCTACCCCTGCAATCTCCATTTTACCTATATTTGGAACTCGTACAAACAGAACCATATAACATGATCTCCTCCTTTTCTCCCCTCCTCCCTATCCATCCTCTCCTCCTCCTCTTCACTCTCTCCTCCTTCTTCCCTTCTTCTCCTTTTTCTTCTTCTTGTATGTGATCCGGAGATCAAACCCAGGGCCTTGACATTCAGCTACATTTCCTGTGCTTTTTATTTTTTATTTTGAGACAGGGTCTCGCTAAGTTACTAAATTGCCCAGATTGGACTTGAAGTTGAGATCCTCCTGCCTAAGCCTCCTAGAATGCTGGAATTACAGGTCTGCACCTGGCTATGATACCTCTTTTTTATGGCTTCTTCTGCTCCTTTCTATCTATAGGGTTCAGGTATTATATTGCGTTGTAGAAAAGTAGTTCTGTCTTGTAATATAACAACAACTGTTAATTCCTATGATTTTGTTTTGAAACCCTGTATCACTTTTAATTGTTCTTACTTTGTTTTGTTTATGTCTGTATGTTGCTATTTTTTTTACTACTCTCTTTAAAACAAAAGAAGTAGTTCAGTCTTTTTCACTGCTATATGCACTCCATTTGACAAATATACTGCAATTCATTCATTTAATCAACTGGTAATGTAATTGGGGTTGTTTCTATCACTGAAGCTGCTATGAATATTCTTGTGGATATCTTTTGCTGGACACATGCACACACTTCTGTTGAGTATACTCCTAAGAGTGAAATTTCTGAGTCAATGGCTAAATGTATATTTGTCTTTGGTAGGTATTGCCTAGACATATATTTGTCTTTGTTAGGTATTGCCAAATAATTTTCCAAAGTACCTGTGTCATTTTGCATTTTCATCAGCAATATGTAAGAGTTCCAGTTGTTTCATTTCCTTGTGAACACTATTAACAGTATTTTTAATTTTAGCCATGAGGATACACGACTGTAGTTTTCACTAGTGTTTCTCTGGAGAGTAGTGATATTGAGAACCTTATCATATGTTTATTGGCCATTTGGGTAAAAGTTAGGTTCAGGTATGGATAACCTCTTTTATAAGGGGCCTGTTCAACTCCTTTGTCCATTTTTCAATTACATTTTCTGTCTTCCTTGGTTTGAGGGAGTTCTCTACATATTTGTAAAAGTCCTTTTTCAGATATTACATTACAAATATCTTCTTCCAATGTGTGGTTTGTCTTTTCATTATCTCAATTGTGTGATTTGAAAAAAAAGTTATTATTAATGAGGTTCAAATTACCAATTTTTTATGCTTAGTATTCCTATATCTTGGTAGAAAAAATCTTTTCCTATTGCAACCCCTTGTTTTTAAAAATCCAGTTAAAATCTTTTATTAGAGGTGACAGTTATTTTGTTTTGTTTCAACCTGACCACCTCATAATCTAATGGATCTAACATCTTCCTATTTTGTGATTTGTTCATGAAATTGACAAGATTACAAGGACAATAACATCAATCAAATGAAATTAAACTTACTCAGAACAAAGCTGTATCAACTTACTAGAAAGCTATGTATGTCACCATTGCAATTCCCAGGAAAATGGAGGAGATGCCACATCCAGTGTATGTTATAATCACTAATATCCGTTCATTCACTGGATCCACTGTTGACCTGGATAAATCCTAGAGAATATAATGAAATATGTTGTATTTTACTATTCACCAGCACAATTTAATGGGAAAATAGTTCTGGTGCTAATGGTTGATTCCCAGGATATACAATATCTTCGCTTTAGTTCTTACACAGCCAGATTATGTGGATGGATATATGATAAAACTATATTTTTTGTTGACTATGCCTAGTACAACTTCCTGTGTACAGGACATGGAAAACAATCAACAGTATTGGGAGAACATTTAGTCCTTGGTTTCATTGTCACTAACGTGTTCCACACTTAAAATATAACCAAGCTAATAGATCTGAATTTGGGATGCAAAATGAATCATTATCCGAACTGAGCATCCCAAAATGTCACACAGAACATCCAAAAATAGCCCTTCTTCTTAGACCTTAAATAACTTTCACAAAATTAAGTGGACCTTAAAGATTATATAGCCTACACATTTCTTAACTTGAGAACCAAAAAGTCCTGAAATGTCATGCAAAATTATTTCAATGTATAAGTGTGCTGGTTCTGTAAGAAGGCCCATAACTTTCATCAGATGGTCATGGACATTTATGACTTCTAAAAAGTTAGGAAGTATGGGTTTACTTTGGTAGTTCTCAACTGGAATAATTTGCACTTCCTTCTGGGACATTTGGCAGTGTCCAGAGACATGTTTGGTTGTCACGACTAGGCCAGGTGCTATCAGAGTGTATTGGGATGTTGATGAACATCTTATAATGCACAGGACAGTCTCCCAAAGCAAAGAATTATGTGACCACAGGATCAATAGTGCCAAGATTGAGCAACTATGGTCTCCTTCAATCATTCACACTTCAGAAGAAAAACCCATGTTCCAGAAAAGTAAAACAATGCAAACAAGACCACAAAATTAGTGGAATATGAGCTGGAATATGAACTCTGGCCTTCTGGCTCCTGTGTAATGTTCTAACCAATTTGGAGGGAGGTAAACAAAATTCTCACAATGTGACAAGTATCAATTGAGTGCTTTTTATTTGCTGAATTAGTATTTTTAAAGAAACAAATAAACAGACTCTCAACCCTCAAAAAGCTTACCATTAGTTGAAGAAACAATTCACACATGACATATTCAGACCACAGTATATAATGAAGTAATTTAAGAGAACTACAAAAGTCTTCATATGTGGGTAGAGAAGCCATTTGGTTGAGACCCATTTGAAAGGAAATTCAGCAAGTCTTGGGGCTGAGGAGGATCACAGGGAGTGCAGGAACTAGGAGAAGTTAACTATGATGCTGAGGATTTAAGTCTGACCATGTAAATTGATCTGCTAAGACTAGAAGAATTTCTTTCTATTTAGCAATCCCTTTATTTTACTTTTCTTTTTGAAAGGTAGTTTTGCTACATACAAATTTCTTACTTGGCAATTTTTTCCCCCTAGCACTTTGAATGGCATCACATTGCCTTCTAAACTTCACAGTTTTGTTGGTAGGTACAGGGGATCAAACCCCAGGCCTTGCACATGCCAGGAAAGTCCTCGTCCACTGAGCTATAAATCAGCTCTATAGTTTTTGATGCTAAGTGAGGAGATAATTTTATTGAGATTTACTTTTACATTCTGGGATATTTTTCTCTTACTTTTTATTTTAAACAGAAGAAAAATAATCAAAAATAATGGTATAAAATTTCAAAACAAGATTACAAGAGAGTAACAATGTTCAGTACATTGTGCATTGTTATCTTCAAAGTAGTTGCTCATAATACAAGATATAGGCATGAAAAACTGATCAAGCAATATAGGCATATACCTATCCTTTCAATGAGCTAATAGCAATTAGTAGTATATCTATCTTAATTATCTTGTATGTGTGTATATATATATTTTTCCCCTTACCCCTTCCTTCTTTTCTCCTTTCCCCCATTCATGTTTGCCTTTCTTTTTGAGCATTTTCTTCCCATTTCACAATATGTGTTGTACATTTTGGGTCTTATTTACTGTTTCAGTTTCTTACACTAGGGAGACAATATAATGTTTACACATGTGAGACTGACTCATTTCACTCATAAGTATGGACTTAAATTGCATCCATTTCCCTGTAAATGTCACAAGTTTATCCTTCTTTATAGCTAAGTAGTACTCCATTGTATAAAAATACTGTATCTTTTTTATCCATTCCTCAGTTGATGGGCATTTGAGTTGTTTCCAAGATTTTGCTATTACAAATCATGCTGCTATAAACATGGGTGCACACATATCCCTGTTGTATGATGTTTTAATTCTTCTGGGAAAATACCCAGAAGGAGAATAGCTGGGTTAAATGAGACCTCTAATCCTAGTTTTTTGAGGAATCTCCAGACTGCTTTCCGAAGTGGTTGCACCAGTCTACATTGCCACCAGCAATGGAAAAGGGTTCCTTTTTGTCCACAGCCACTCCAGCATTTGTTATTGGTTGACTTTTTGATGATAGCCATTCCTACTGGGTTGAGATGAAATCTCAGTGTTTTTTTGATTTGCACCTCTTGAATGACCAATGATGTTGAACATTTTTTCATGTTTATTTACTGTATGTATTTCTTTGTCTGAGAAGTTCATATTCATCTCAGATGCCCATTTTTGCATTGGGTCTTTGAATTTGGGAGGTCTGATTTTTTTTCAGTTCTTTATATGTTCCAGATATAAGTCGTTTGTCTGAAGGACAGTTAGCTAAAATGTTTGCTCACACTGTGGGTTGTCTTTTCACTCTATTGGTGATTTGTTTTGAGGCACAAAAGCTTTTTAATAGGATAAGATCCCAGTTGTTGAGTATTTGAAGTGTGTCTTGTGCAGTTTGGGTTTTGTTCATGAAGTCTTTGCCTACTCCTATGTCTTCAAGGTTTTGACCTACTTTCTCTTCCAGTAAATTTAGTGTTTCTGGGGGCTGGGGATTTAGCTCAGTGGCAGAGCACTTGCCTGGCAAGCGTGAGGTGGTGAGTTTGATTCCCGGTACCGGAAAAAAAAAAAAAAAAACAGAAAAAAAATTTAGTGTTTCTGTTTTAATATTTAGATCTTTGATCCATTCTGACTTTAGTGCAAGATGATAGACATAGGTCTTGTCTTAGTCTTTGGCATGCAGAGAGTTTTTCCAGCCCCATTTATTAAAGAGGCTATCTTTCTTCCAGTGAACATGTTTGGCCCCTTTGTCAAAGATAAAGTGGCTGAGTATGTTTGTAGTTGTGTCTACATCTTCTAATCTGTTCCACTGGTCCTCAGGTCTATTTTTTTTTGCCAGTACCATGCTGATTTTATTCCACTAGCTTTGTAGTATAATTTCAAATCAGGGATTAGGATGCTTCCTGACTTGCCTTTGTTGCCCAGGATTACCATGCTATTCTAGGTCTCTTCTGATTCCAGATGAATTTTAAGAATGTTTTCTCTAGTTCTGTGAGATATGCTAATGGTATTTTGATAGGGACTGCATTAAATCTGTATAACAGTTTTGAGAGTATGACCATTTTCACTATGTTGGTTCTTCCTATCCATGAGCAAAGGATATCTTTCCATCTTCTGATATCCTCTTCAATCTCCTTTATCAGAGTACTGTAATTTTCAACATATAAATCTTTTACTGCCTTTGTTAGATTAATTCCTAAGTATTTCATTTTTTGGATGCTATTGTGAGGGAACACTACAAGAACTTAAACAACATATCCTTTCATATGCTGCAATTTCACAATACCTATTAACATTTAAAAATTTTTATAATCATACCCTTTATTCCATCAATTCTGCTTCTGTCAATTAATTGTACAAGAATAGTCACGAGGGCTGGGGATATAGCTCAGTGGCATAAGTGCCTGCCTGGCAAGCGCAAGGTCCTGAGTTCGATCCCCAGTACCGCAGGGGAAAAAAAAAAGAATAGTCACAATGGAAGTAAGCAGCTAAAATGTCTACCTGTCAGGAGGGGTTGGTTAAATTCATTGCGTTACATCCACATAATGATATACCACAGAGTTATTTTTAGAATTGAAGTAGATGGACACATATTTATCAGAAAGTTGTACAATACATATTCTTAGGTGAAAAGCATAAATATTTAATCTCATTTTATAAAACAAAAATTTACATTAACATACACATAAGAAAATATTCTAAATGAATATATATATATATATATATATATATATATATATATATATATATATCAGACTGTTAAAGGTAGTGGTCTCTCAGAAGAAGAATTAAAGGGACTTTTTCAGTATTGCTTGAGATTTTAAAAGTAAACATTAGTTTTATAACAAGAAAAATCAACATTTGTTTCAATGTGCTCTGCTTTGGATGAAGAAGATGAGAGAAGGAAATTTTTTCCACTTCATACCAGTTTTCCATGTTCACATATATATTACTGTTCTGAGTCACACAAAAGTTGTCAAAATTCTTTGAGGAGTGCGGAAGACACAACTTACCATTAAAACTCCAAAGTGGGTGAGATGGTCACACTGACAGATTGTATAATTTACGTTTGTTTCTTTTACTTTGCAGCCTGATGAATTCCATCCACCTAGCCCATCTGCAAGAAGCAGAAGGGAGTTTCAAAATAATTTTGCATTTCTCAGAAATATTTAAGTTTCCATCATACGCACCATCCAAACGTTTATCATAATTATCATTGTTTGTTAAGACAACAAGGTAGAAGTACAAGGCAACACGAGAATTAAATTAAGTCTAGCACGCCAAGCTGACTTTGAGGGCACTTCATAAATGGCCTAACTTCTTTGATACTCCCTTTTCCTGTTTTTGTAACATATCTCTACGGATGGTAACATATTCTAATCATGATCAATAGACCTGCCACCATGCTGGAGTGACAGCTTTTTTTTTCAAAGTAGTCAACAGACAGAGCAGATAGATCTAGATTACTTGAAGGATACAAACTTGAGGAATATACACTGATTTTTGAGCCTCCTTGGTGGGACTAAAATAGATATCTGAAATAATCAGTTCAACTCAGTATTTAAATGGTCTCAAACATTTTGTGTCCAAGCCAGATCATGGAGTGGAGCTCCTTGGGGGCAAATGAGAGCATCTGGACTATCTGACACATACTCAGTTTCTCCTGAGCATGATTAAGTTTCTGGAACCAATTCTCACTGACCATAACCTGTAGATCTTGAGCCTTACAGCAGATTCCAAATTAACATTAGACCAGAAGGGTTATCCAAAGGCAGATAGCGAAGTGTAGTGTGTCCATCTGTGACAACTCTCATAGATTCTAGCAGTTCTAGACCCATGAGGCCCAGAGGCAGGAGCAAAGGGTGATGGGGGTATTTTGGGGGTATCCCAGGAATTGGCATTAATGACCACACAGAGATCAACTGATCGAAGCTGTGGAGAACAAAACTCATAGCATTATAGGATTCCTTTCCTGAGAAACTTGGAGGGGACCAGGAAAGGACAGTGTTACTTCTGTTTGTCACAAAGGTAAAGTCTTCATTCTTGTATCTCAGGGAGCCCTATGGGAAGAGAATTTTCCTTTCTTCCTGGAATCCTAAAGATACTGGAAAAGGGGAAGCTCCAAGGCAGAGCTTCCACAAGCAGAAAGACTCTGCTTACAGCCAGCTATGGCATTTCAGGGGAAATTGATTCCATGTGGGAATTCTCTGAGATTTGATGTTACCTCTAGAAATTCCAGTAGATTTGGCAAGTCTAAGAGAAACCCGGTCAGCAATAATCATCCACAGTGTCTTCTCTTACTATCATTAAAGACTTAGGCTTATGCAAGGAGGAAGGGCCCATAGGTATCAACCAAGTAGCCTCATTTCTTCAATGAAAAGATAAAAAGATTGAGAGGGTAAATGGCCTACCCAGGTGGGGAGAAAAAAGAAGAAACAGTTGTCATTGCAAATCCCCATGGGAATGTTCAGATAAAGAGCCAGGTGATCATTCCTCCACTTTCTTCAATCAGCTGAAACCTAATCTGCACCTGGCCACGCACATTTCTTTCTTCCAACTTCACTTACCTCTGGCTTGTATGGTTTTTCTGATTTTCCCAATACGTCTTACAAAGAAGGACATTTTTTCTTTATTTCCATGCCCTAAGCTGACATGAAAATCATATTCTGTATCTTGGTCATTCGGAGTGTCCTATAGGATCTGCTAAGGCTGCAGGTTCAGAACAATTCCTCATTTCAAATGGCAAACAGGAAAATGACGGGGGCGATTGAAAAATACTTACTGTTAGTCTCAAAATCCCAAAAGGCACAGTGAACCTGATCATAGTTCTAGAAAGGAGAAACCAGAGAGAAAATATGTTTTCTTTGCAGCGGTTACCACACAGTAACAATTACACACAAGTTTTTTTTCAATATATTTTCAGACAGTAGATATATACACATGTGTACATGCACACACACACACACACACACACACACACACACACACACACGGGCCATAGTAAAATGGTTGTAAGACTAACTCCATTTCACTCAAGTGAAAAAAAACAGAATATTGCTGCATGATAATCTGGTAATATTCTTTTCAAATATTTAGCAGCATGTGATTTGGCCATGGTTTCCTGGTGCAAGGTGCAGGAGGAGGAGTGCAGGACTGATGTATACTAGGTGTTCTTTGTAGAGCTTAGAATGGAAGGCTTATAGCTAAGAGCATGCCGTATGAATACAAGACTGGGTTGCTTCCCCATTAGTCCTCAGTAGAGCATTCTTAAAACCTCATCAGCTCCTAAAATGTTTGGGACACTAGCTCAAACACCTCAATTCACCTGTCAAGACAAGAAAAAAACTGATTGCCGGGAATGGTTTGAGAGCTGTAGCTGTAGCCTCAGTCCAAATGGAGAGATCTTAGCCATTTAATGATGTTTCATTTGGTATCCGATTTTTTTTTAAATTCCCTCTCCCCATCTTCATTTCCTTCTTCTCTTCTATAATCAAGACTAGGGAAAAATATGTTGTACCATATGGTCTTTAAATTAGGAATGAAGGAAGCTATTAAGACTTCACACTGGACACACATTAACATCAAAGAATGAAATAGTAATTCATTCTTATACTAAGGCTAAATTTGATCATTTAGTAATGTATGCCTTATGCTATGCCATATGATTATGGTTTTTGGTCCTTTGGTGATAATTAATACACATTTTAATGCTCTTCATAGAAATTCAAAGAATACAAATGTTCAGTTATTTTGAATGAAGTTGTTTGCCTCACTCAAAAAGGAATGGAATTGAATGTCATTTAGTGTGCTGGGACAACCAACAGATCCACCTATCTTCAGTTACTACCTTGCCAATCTGTCAGAGCACTGGAATGCTCACCTTTCACTATATTTTTAGGACATGGAATTACTTCAAGAAGTCCCCAGTTACAATACACCTCTGCTACCCAGACAATCTTCATTAAGTCATTGACTCACATCTGTTAATTAGCCAATTATTTTGAATAGGAGAATCAGAGAGGGATTCTGAGGCCACTAGACTCTGAGATAAAAATGGATATGTTACCCGATTTCCTCCAATATGCTGCAGAGTGATAACCACTGGATCCACCAAGTTTTGAATGGACGTGTCTGAAATGCTAGCACTCACAACATATGAGGTCAATGCTTTAGTTACATTTTTGGTCTGTAGATAAAACATAAAAGAGTTCAGAATCTAAATTTCTAGTTTCTTCTATGCTCATTTTCCATCTAGAATCTTTGAAATGTTACACACGGTATTAGGTAATGAAATGTAGAGAAAATCACGAGCTAAGAATGAATTTTCAGATATCATTCAGCTCATTTCCTGTCTTTACATAATGTCTCAGTGACACCAAGCTAGAACAGTTCATTAACCCATCCACACATCCAGATATCTGTCCAACCAGCAATGTTTTTGCGCCTGTTACTCAGCACTACACTAGAAACAAAATAAAAATAATTCTGTACCTTGATAACTCTTCAGATGCTGATATTGCAGGGATAAAGGAAACCCTCCTGATAAGAATCCAAATCTATGGTGGGTCAGTTATAAACCACTTTCTCTTCTAGCCTCACTGGAGATGAAAACATTGCTCAACAGCCAGCTTGCAAGAAGTCTGTAAGGATAGTCCTGTCCTTTCTAGAAGAACATGAACTCTGAGGCTATAACCCCTGCCTGTGTGTCCTGGTGTTCCCTGCACACACTAGCACACAGTAGGTATTTTATCTTGTGCTCACTGTAAGGCAGTACTTTGCTAAATACTTTCAATGCAGATACTAACTTTGGTCCTCACTGACATCACATAGACATTTTTCAGATAAACTTAAGAGTTGAATAAGCTCAGTGCCTATATACACGAAGATCACACAGCTGCGGGGTGACAGGGAAGGGATATTTAATGAATGTTGGTTTAAAGGCAACAACAAGAATACACCTGTCAAGACATGAAACTTTTTAATTGAAACACCAAAGACCAAGCCTCTAGAAGGTAAGCTAGCTGAGAGCCTACCTCTTCTGGGACACACATAAGGAGCCCAGAGATGGAGTGGCATAAGACAGGAGGGAGAGGAGCCTAATCTTCTAAAAGTGGCCAGCAGATTCTTTAAGATGCCATGCCTTCATATTCCTAAAGCAGCAATGTGTAGCCTTCACTCCCTACCCCACTTGAGCCCTGCAGTCTCTGACCCCAGGGAATTGTGAATGCAGCCTGCAGACTACTAGGAAGCTACTCAGCTCCTGTTCTGGACTCACTGTGTTCATCTGAAACCAGCCTGACGACTCAGAGCTCCCTTCCCAGCGGCGTTACCTGGGACAGCAGGATGTAAAGTGACATCAGCAGATGGAAAGGGCCCTGGCTAATGCTCGAAAGACTAAGTGCTAGACAGAGTCCTCTTGTTTCTCCAAAGGCCTTCTCCATCTTGCTCATTGAAGACGTGAGGAAAGAGAGTGGATTAGAACTCTACTGACCCATCCAACTTAGTCTACGAGAAATGGCTTTCCATGTTGGAAAGGCCAATAGTGGAGACATCCATGATGGTCCAGGGTTAAATTAAATTCTTCTCTGGCTTCATTTCTTTTACCTACAAATGGTGGCCATGCTGTGGAAGGACCAAAATCATTTCTCACCCCTCCATCCTTTGTAATCTAGGCTCAAGGTTTCTTGTTATGCCTCTGACTTTACAGAAGCTGTTACCTCTGCCTGAACCTTCCTTGACCCTTCCCTCCTCATCTCTCCCATCTTGCAGCTCCACCACGGCCTCTGGCGTCCGCTCAGAGTGCTCTTACACAAGGCCCTTGCAGCTCTCCCACATGAGAGTAGGGACTCTTCTACAGTCCCACAGCCCCTGCCAACATTGCTCTCGCTTTGCGTCTTTTCCCCTTTCTGAGAACTGCAGCTCGTGGACAAGTAGAAGACCAGGCATGTGATGTTCAAGAGTGGGGTCTCTCCAACCATTTCTAAGGTAACATGTGATGGCAGTTGAGATTTTGATCAAAAGATGTTAGAGGAAGCAGTGTGAAAGCAAGGCTGTGAGACTTGGGAACTGGAAAAAAAAGAGAGTTAAAGCGTGGCATATCGTGTTAGCACTCACTCCTCAGCAGTCAGCAGCACAAATCCAAGCCTCAAGTCCCACTGTGAGTGTTAGGGTTCAGGTCTCTACTCTCCCCCATCACTCTGCAAGTTCCCTAGTGACAGGCACCGTGTCTCTCTGGCTACACGTTGGTTCCCCAGCATCAAATAACATAAGACACAGAGTAGGAATTCAATAAACATTTGCTGAGTTAATAAATGATTATGTGAATACACTGTCCTCTTCAGCAAGTGCCTTCCTCTGTCTTGGTGCCAGTGTCTTTCTTGGCACCATGAGGAGATGGGGCGCTATGAGTAATGAGAGGCCTTCCAGCTCTGAGTTGGATGGCAGACTAGTTCTAATCCTTATTCATCTGCCACTGTGTCATCCGTAGGCCAATTTTGGCAAAGATCTTTAATCTATTTCAGGGGAAGGTGTTAGTGAATAAAAATTACTTATTAAGTGAGAAGTCTACGCACCACAAGTTTATCTCTTATTCCAAGAGACAAACACAACCCTCTGAAAACATGAGAGATACTAAGATCAAAATAATGGTATCGCAGATGTTTCCAGAGAAATGATAAGACTATCAAAAGCATCTGACAGCTATGGAACCCATTTTTAACTTTTATTAGATATTTTTGTCCTCTAAAAATTATTGTCCAGGGAATAGGGAAGAGAGAAGGGGCTCGATAATCACAGGTAAGCACCCTGGAAAGAATTTGAGCAAAACCTACAAGAGTAAATTTAGATAGAAAAGTGGCTAATGGAATACCAAGGGAATAGCGTACAGACAAAAGTGGTAAGGAAATAGGGTATATTTTAAATTGACCCAGTGCCATCTACCCCTAAATAACTCCATGAATAACTGACGATTGGAAGTTGTTTTCTTTGGATAACCTTCTTAGAAATTCAACACACCTGAGAAATTTAATGTAATAAGTTCCTAAATACACAAACTTTAAAGTCAGATGACCTAGATTTGATTCCAAGCTAGGTCACGTCCTAACTCTGTGACCTTGAGTAAAATTATGTAACTTCTTTGAGTGTCAGCTTCTTATGAGAAGTAGATGAGATAATATAGGTAAATATTAACAATTATTGTGTTCGACATCATGCAAACAGTGCTGTCTTCCAAGCAGCTAGTGATCTGAGGGAATGGGCCTTTTGGTAGGCGGAGATCCATGAAAAGATAGTTAAAATAGCAATGCAAACACTCATGATGGTGCTTATTAAGAATCAGGCAATATTGTAAGCACTTTATACATATTACCTCCGTTAGTCCTTCAATAGTCCTTCAGTAGATCTATGATAGACTATTCCTACCCTATTTTGCATAGGAGGAAACTAAGGCACATGGACATTTATCAGCTTGCCCAAGCTTGAACAAGTAGAATATTGCAAAGCCAGTTTCAGACACCTCCACCTCCTCACCCCTGCGTCCGTAATCTTCATCATCATATCATGCTGCCTATTTTAGAGTGGCTGAGGGATGGAGCCCTCAGAAAGGGTTCTGCACCAGTGGGGAGAAAGAACAGCAGGCAAGTGACCTGCTAGACCCCATCCAGTTTCAAATAAATTGGTCCACAAGAGTGGGCACGTTGGCTTTGATGAGCCAGGAGAGATTTGGGAGGAAAGCACTGACACACCCAAAGGGCATTTCATCAGGAGAACACGCTGTTCTTTTTGGCTTTGAAACATCTCGAGGTCTCTGTTTGGTCACTACATAATCTTTAAGTCCATATCCAAAGCTGAGAAACTGTGAAAATTAAAAACTGTGGAACATCATTTAAGTAGACGTTGATTCATGTTGAGGGCCAGGGGTTGTGCTGCAAGACTTGTAGACTCAATCAGAGAGTGTCTTCTAAAATAAACAGAACACTGTGAAAATAAGAGAAGCTCATAATTACAGTGAGTCACCATATGTCAGTTCATGACAGCTATTAGAGGCAAGAACTTACCTTAAAGAGTGAAGTTTGGCCAAAAAAATTAAACAAGATGGTTTGTAAGTTGTTAAGAGGAATTCTCTCACTCAGTGACTTAGGCAAATATATGGAAGCCAAAACCCTCCCCAGAGGGACAGCACCTAGGTAAATCTGCCAATAAAAGCCAGGAAATGAAAACTGGAGTCTTCATGCATCAGGGTGAAATCCCACTCCCCACCCCAGGGTATCCTACATAGGGTTGAGGGTTGGAAACTAACTTCATAGGGCTGTCATACCCTTTTTTGCACCCTCAGAATTGTGGGCCAAGCTGTAGTCCTGGTATGTGTGCACGTGTGCACACACACACACACACACACACACACACACACACACATACCAAACACATTTCTTCCTTTCCAAGCCTATTTCTGAGGTTCTCTTCCTTTAACCTGGCTCCACCTGGTTAATAATAGCAGTCAGAAGGGGAATGGCACATTAGATAATTTTCCCTAATTCTCAGAAATAAAGGCCAATCTTGGAAATCAGGCCACTTTTTTCCCATATAGTTCTGAAACTGGAAAAAAAAAAAAACAAACTAAAACAAAATAACAAAAACTATGCAACAAACTTAACTCACAGATATTGAGCAATGTTTTCATTAAAATGGGGCTAGGAAATGAGGCATTAGTCTTTAATAATTCTGCTGGAGACTCATGAGCAGAAGAATTTACTCATTTGATTGGTAATATTGCTTGATATATACTGGAATATTGTTTAAAGTGAAAGGCGTTTTATCAAAAATTACACTGCGACAGAGCCATTACCTGGCCAGCCCCAGGTAAAAACAGAATATATATAGGCAGGCTTTCCTACATTCTCTCACTCAATGCCTGTATCAACCTTAAGAAGTATATTGTATTATGATACCAGGAAACTGAGGCTCAGAGAGGTGAAGTGATTTGTCCAAGGTCACCCAGTGAGGAGGCTGAACAAAAATGTATGTGGCTTTGGTATATATGGTATATAAAAGATATATACTTTTCCTATTACCCATGTTACCACTCAAGGAGCTATTATGTAGTTGGGCACATGATGAGGGGATGAAAATTTATAATATTTCTAAAAACAATTGTAAATCCCCAAACCATGTAGCTCTTTTTCTAATAAAAATGAACTTTGCTTGAGCTACTGAGTATCATGGAAAGGTCATGATTTAATTTTGGTATGCAAGCAGTTTGGCACCAAGAATGTAAGTAAGGTTGGTTGGTTGGTTCATTGGTTGGATGGTTGGTTTAGCCACTAATGTCTATAACAGAAAATACCATGTGTAAACACAATGCAGTAGGAAATCAATATCTGCTTCCAGTATACTAAGTAATTCCTGAAGAATTTGACCTCCTTGCACATAACACCAATACAAACTAATAGTGACTCAAAGGCACTGGAAAATGAATGAAAGTGGAGAGATTCTGGAGAAGAGTAGACATTTGGAGAAAGGTAACATCAAAAGGGAGTTGCCTGTTTTACAACTGTTAGACTCATGTTAGGCTGAAACTAATGCATTGAAGGGCATCTAAACTGTGATGGAAAACCTGCAGCCTTTCCTATGTGAAGAATGAGAAAAGTAAGCTCAGAAGAACCACAGGTATTGGAAGAAGGGGGACATCTGGAATGAAGAGAGCTAGAGAGAGAGAAAGAGAGCCCAAATTCTAAGTATAAGCTCTGGACAAATATCTGCCTGATTTATTAATCATATATGTATAATTCAGACTCCAACTAAAAATAAAAGAACTTAACTGAGATTTTTAACTGCCACCTAGGATATGGAATTTACAGTTTGATTCCAGCCAAGTTTATTGCTTAGCATAATGAAAAAAAGGTTTTCAGAGAAATATAGTAGAATTGAGTCCCCACAATACAAAATTCACAATGTCCAGAACATAATCCAAAATCACTTGATATGTGAAGAAAGGAAAACTTCTGACCTACTTTAAAGTGAAAATGCAATCAATGGAGATCACTTATGAGATGACTCAAGTGTTAGAATTAGCAAGCAAGGACTTTAAATAAGCTAGTATAACTATACTCAGGTACTTAAAATAAAATATGCTTAAAAGTAATGTAAAATGAGGAAACAAGAGCAGAAAAACAGAAACCAAGAAAAGGAGGAGGAGGGGGGAGGAGAAGGAAGAGAAAGACAAAGTAAAAGAGGAGGAAGAGAAGAAGAAAACAAATTCTAGAACTTCAGATACAATATTAGATTTTTTTAAATTGCATTGGATGGGGTCAGTAGCAACATGACAATGACAAATGTCAGCAAATTTGAAGATAAATTAATAGAAATTATTCTACCAGAAGAATAGAAAATACAATAATTAACAATATGAACAGAGTATCAAGTACTGGTGGGGCAGTGTTAAAAGGTCTTATATACATGAAATTGGAGTCTCACCAGGGGTGAGGAGACAGGATGTTGAGAGGGTATATGATGAAATAATGATGGAAATACATATGTTACAGATTCAAGAAGCCCAGCAAATCTCAAGCAAGATTAAATACAAAGAAAAACATGCTTAGGTACATCACAGCCAAACTACAGTAAATCAAAGAAAATACTAAAAGAAGTTGGATAAAAATGACACATTACATATCACAGACAGAGAAATAAAAATTCAAATGATTACTGATTTCTCATCAGAAAACATGGAGACCAGAAGAGATAGGAAAATTTTCAGAACAACAAGGGGGGTATCTGCCAATCTATAATTTTATAGCAAGCAAGAATATCCTTTGAAAATAAAGAAGAAATATATTTTCAGGTATATACAATTAAGAAAATTCATCATCAGACTTAACTACAAGAAATGCTAACTGAAGTTCTTGAAGCTGAAGGGAAATGATACCGATGAAGAAAGGAATGGAGAGAATCAGAAATAAAAAATATGTAGGTAAATAAAACAGGTTATTTTTATCTCAATTTTTTAAAATTACATAGTACTTTTAAAGCAATGATTACAACACAGTGTTGTGGGATTTATGATCTTCCTAGATTAAAAACTATGAAAATTATAGCCTAAAGAACAGGGGCTATAAATGGATATTTATGATTTGGAATTTCTCCATTTCTCTTGGAGTAGGAAAATATTAACTCTGTGTACACTATGAAAATATGAGTATTTATATTGTTATCTTTACAGGAAGTATTTAAAACAATATAAATAGACATAATTAAAGGATCTGTGAAAAAGTAAAATACAATGATAATAAATATTAAACTAAAGCAAAAGACAAGAAGACAGGAGGAACACAGAATCAAAAGCCAGAGGGAGAGAAAACAATTAAATGAGATGGTAGTGCTGACTCTACCCATATCAATAATTACATTAAGCATTATTGGATTACACACTCAAATTTAAGGCAAATATTATCAGGATGGATTAAAAAGTGAGGCACAAACTACATGCTATCTATAAGAATTCTACTTTAAATATGAAGACACACAAGTAGTTAAAAAATTTTATATATATATATGTATGTATCTATATCATAAAACAGCTGGGAGGGCTATATTTAAATCAGAGAAAATAGTCTAGAAGACAAAGCACTGTTGGAGATAAACAGGGATATTTCATAATGATAAATAAATTAGGATTAGGGTTCAGATTAGAAAGATATAACATTATAAATGTTTATGCACGTAATAAAAGAGCCTCAAAAGATACAAAGCAAAATTTGAAAGGGGAGAATGATAATTCCACAATCAAAGTTAGAGATTTTAGCAGTCCACTCAACTAGGAAACAGCCACGTAAAAATCAGTAAAGACACAGGTGATCCAAACAGCACTATCAGCCACCCTGACTTAATTAATAATTACAACATATCAAACAGCTATAAAATACACATTGTTCCATAGACCATACACTAAGTCATAGGACAAGTTTCAATAAATGTAAAGAGACTGAAATTATACCAAGTCCTGTATAGTCTGTTACCAAAATAAAATAAACAAAAAAAATCACTTATAAGAAGCTATTCCCAAATACTTTGGATTTGAACAACACACTCCTAAATAACCCATGCAGTAAAGAAGAGAGAGAAGAATGGATAGCTAATGAAAATAAATACAACACATAAAAATTTGAGTACTATTGCTAAAAGAGTGCTTAGAGCGATATTTACAGCTTCTTGTGATCATATTAGAAAAGAGGAAAAGTCTAAATCAATGGCCTATGGATCACATTAAGAAGCTAGATAAAGAAAAAAGTAATCCCAAAGGAAGTGCAAGGATGGAAAACAAAAGATAAGATCAGATATCAACAGTGTAGAAATCGGGCAATAGAGAAAATTAACAAGGCCAAAATTTGGTTCTTGGGAAGGATCAATACAATTGAAAAATCCCTAGCTATACTGACCAAGGAAAAACAAGAAACGAAATGTTTAATATCGGGAATGAAGACGAGTTATAATATAGATCAGAGGTGTGAAAAACAGTCAGCAGACCAAACCCTACTCAAGGCTTGTGTTTGTATTGCCCTGAGGTAAGAATGGATTTTACGTTTCTTTTTTTAAAGGTTGTGCACGATAGAACTAAGGGAAGAAGAAACACAAACACAAGGACATGCAGCACGCAGACATCTGTGTCTTATGAAGCCTAAAATATTTACTATCTGCCCTTTAGGACATAAGTTTGCTAACTCTTGTTAAAACTCCTATAGCTGTTTTTTAAAAAATTTTAAAACATATGAACCAAGCACCAACAAACTTGACAAGATAGATGAAATAAAATTTTAGAAAAATCCAACTAACCAAAACAGACTCAAGATGAATTAGAAAAATGGAATGCCACTATATTCATTAAATAAATCAAATTAGCTATCAAAACTGTCCCATAAAGAAATTCCAGACCCAGAGGATTTCCTAATGAACCCTATTAAGCATTTAATGAAGAAATAACACCAATGATACACAAACTCTGAAAGTAGAAGAGGGACCATTTTCCATCTCATTTTTATAAAATCTTAACCTAAAACCTGACAAAGAAATTACAAAAAAAATTGAAGAATATGCTTCATGAACAGAAATGCAAACATACTTCATAAAATATGAACACATTGAAAATAGCAATATAAAAAATTATAACACACCATGACCAATAGTTTCTTCCAGAAACATAAGATTATTTTAATTTAAAGTGGAAAGAGAACTGATCATTTCAAGAGATGCAGAAAAATCACCTGATGAACTTCAGTGATACATGGCACAATTTTTCAACAAACTAGAAATAGAAGGTACCTTCCAGAGCATGTGCCTGAAGTCTCAGCTACTCAAGAAGCAGAGGTAGCAGAATTACTAATGCCCAGGAGTTCAGGGCCAGCCTGGGCAACTTAGAGAAAACCTCTCTCAAACAAAACAATGAAAAAAAGCAAGGTAACTTCCTCAAATTAAGATATCTTAAAAATAATATGGCTAACAATAGTATTTGGGAATAGTAAACACTTTTCATCTAAAAATCAAGAATGAGACAAGGATGTCATTACTAGTCTCTTGGTTGGTGGCTACTCTGCAAAGCAGGTAAGAAGAGGAAAGGTTGATTGGGCCTGGTATATTTGGTCTTTAGTTGTCAAGGCTGACTATTTTCCAGCTAGGTCTTATTTTTGGGAAAAGGGGGTTTGACAATCCAATGTAAAAACTATTCCATTTGCAACAGCATCAAAAAACATAAAATACTTGGGAATAAATTTATCAAAATATATGCAACGCCTCTCCAACTATGAAATATTGCTGAGAGAGATGTAAACAGACACAAATAAATGTTATTGGACTAGAACACTCAGTATCACTAAGAAAGAACTTCTCCCAAAAGTGATCACAAACTTCAATCCTGATCATAATCTCAGCAAATTTTTTGCACAAATTGATAAGCAGACTTATATGGACGTTAAAAAGTCTTAAAGTAGCTGAAGTGACCTTGAAAAAGAATAAGTTCAAAGGCTCAAACTAACTTCAAGACTTCAGCACAAAGACATTGTAGTAATGAGAGAAGAATCCACAAAAATTAAACAGAACAGCCTCAAAAGCTTAGAAACACATCTACTTTATACAACTAATTTAAGTTTTAAAATTTTATTGTTGTTTGATTGTCAATGGTACCAAAGCAAGACAATGGGAAAGGGAAAGGTCTTCAATATATGGTTCTGGAAAATCTAGAAATCCACATGCAACAAAATGACCATCAATATCTACCTCATCTGCCTCATGCCGTGCACCATTAATTTAATCAATTAGGATTATCAACCTCAACATAAAAGAACTTTTAAAAACAAAGCGCTAAAACCAGAAACTTTTTTTTTTTTGTACTGGGGATCAAACTCAGGACCTTGCCCTTGCCAGGCAAGCACTTATGCCACTGAGCTATATCCCCAGCCCCAAAGTGCTAAAACCAAATAGCTTTTAAAGGAAAGCATAGAAGAATAGCTTAATGGTTTGCTGGGAGACAAAGGTTTTTCTTAGAAAATCCATGCATTCATAAGAGAAAAAACATAAAATAGATTTCATGAAATCTCAAATCTTCCGCTTATCAAAAGATACCACTGAGAAAATGAATAGGCAAACTTCAAAGAAAAGATTTTTGAAACATGTATCTGATAAATAACTTGCATCTAGAATATATAAAGAATGCTTACAACTCAATAGGAAGCAAGCAAACCAATTTTAAAACAAGTCAAAGATTTTTAGCAGATGGTTAATTCAAGAAGATAAATACATGCCTAATACCAACATGAAAAATTACTCCACATCATTAGCCACTTTAGGAAACAATATGACAGTTTCTTATAAAACTTAAAATATATCTTATGAGCCAGCCATCCCAGGTCTGGACATTTTTCCAAGACATACAAAAAGACATGTCTGCATGATATTTTTACACAAATGTCTGTAGCATTATTCATAATAGCCAAAAATGAGAAACAAATTCAAAAGTCCATCAACAGGAGAATAGACAAACAATATGTGATAAACAGAATATTATTCAGCAACCAAAAAGAATAAGCTATGAAAACAAATGGATGCATCCAAAAGAAGCCATAATGCTACACAAAAGAAGCATTACACAAGACAGTACATATTTTATGATTCTATTTATATAAAGTTCTAGAAAATGAAAAGATATGATGGAAAATATCAGAAGCATGGTGGCCCTGGAGGTAGTAGTTTCAGGGATTGCCTGAGGGAGCTGAGGGAGTTTTTAGGAATAGTAGAGATGTTCTGTACCTTGATAAAGTTTGGGGTTATAAAGATGTATGCATTTGACAAAACTCAAAAAGTATATGCTTAGGATTTGTGCATTTTCCCATATGTATATTTTATAATGTTTTTACTGTAAAAAGACTCTGTACAATAAATACTCTGAATATTCCTATTGAGAAATAGGAAGAAAATGTTCAAATGGGAAAGGGAAGTAGGAAGGGGATGGAGAAAGGAAAGAAGTGAAAAGAAAAAATGAGAAAGAAGGATAAAATGGAAACAAAGCTTTTGTAAATAAGGAGGGGAAGATGGGTTAAAGGGAGGAGAGTGTAATGGAGGAAAAGAAGGAGTAAGATATATCATGTACAGGTACAAATTCCCTATGATGACTGTGATAATTATGTATATCTAAAATGTACCAATAAACCTAATTAATTAAAAGACTCTGTACCCCCAAATTGAGCAATATTAGTAGCCTATGATCTGCTAAAGTCTGAGGCAGTGTAACATGGTGGGAAAGGCTCAGAATTCTTTTTATAATTGATATATACTAGGTGCCAGGCATGGTAGAGCATGCTGTAATCCCAGCATTTGGGAGGATGAGGCAGGAGGATCTCTGCGAGTTCAAAATGAGCCTGGGCTACAAAGTGAGCTCAAGGCCAGCCTGAACTGCATAGTGAGACCCTGTCTCAAAAAGACAAAAAAAAAAAATGATAGATAGTAATTGTACATGTTTATAAGGAACAATATACTTTGAAAGTGTATAATAAACAAATCAGGATAATTACCATATCCATCTCCTCAGATATTTATGATTTCTTTGTGCTAAACATTCTGGGCTACAACTTTAAAGCCAACCAAAGATAGATTTGGATTGTGGCTTACCCATTAGGCAGTGTGTCCTTGGACAAATGGCTTCTCTGTGTCCTCATCGATACAAAGGAGACAGCAGCACAACACCCAACGTATAACAAATGCTCCCGAGGACAGCAAATCATAAACTGACATTTGAAATGATTTCAGGTCACAAGGCCAAACGTGACATGGTTGTACATCTCATAGCCACCATTCCAATCTTAGCCTGCTAAGAGTTACATGACTCTTCCCTGAGCCATTTGCATTTTCCTGAGGTCCCCTAAGGATGAATGCCTTGAGAGTACCTTCTGGCCCTCCCCAGAATCACGTCAGTGAGTCAGCAAAAACTGGAATGCACTTGGTTGATTGGCTCCCCGTTCTGATCTACACTCACCTCCGGCCTTGTGCCATCTTCGTAGGAGTGAATGCTGAAGGCCATGCCTTCAAAACCATGGCCTACCCGCAGCACAGCCAAAGCCAGCCCGGACACAGTGACATTTGCTGTCCTTCCAGAAAACTCCATCTTGTGGCCAGCACGCTCAATTATCCTCAGAATTCTGCCGGAAACCACAGGTGAAGAAAGCGCTAACTACTTTTCGCCTGTAAAGCCCATCTTCCTGACAGGATTGCCTAGCTGGAAGACTGCTTTTTGTCTTTACTCCTTTCTTTTTATAGTTTTAGGAATCATTAGATAAGACCACTGGCTTAGCTGGAGACAAGCCTAGGCCTACATCTTAACGCCTCTCATTTCTAACTGTAGGAAAATACAGTGGCCCTCCTGAGCCTCAATTTCCTCACCCGCAAAGTGGAAAATAAGATTGACACACAGCTCAAAAGATGGTTTCGAAGATTAAATAAAATTGTTTTTTGGAACGCCAGATCCTTCAGGGCCTCACAGGCCTTATAAGAAGTTCCGAGACTGGGCCTCTCATCCTGGCCCTCTGAGAGGCTGAGGCAGGAGGATGGCGAGTTCAAGTTCAGCCTAGGCAATTTAGTAGTTTAGGGAGGCCCTGTCTGAAAATAAAGAATAAAAAAGGCCGGGAATGTAGCTCAGTACAAAGGCCTTGAGCTCAATCACCAATACCCCCTCAAAAAAGTAATGGCTCTTCTGATTTTACTAGATGTGCAATAGAGTACCACCCTATGGTTGTAAGCAAGAAAATGCCATGATCTTGTAGAGAACACTCTGGTCACTATTTAAAAGATGAACGATACAGGAGCAATAGAGGCAGAGAGATCAGTTAGGTCGCTGAAGGTGGCCAAGAAGAAAAATGAGGCTGGAACTGGAGGGGTGGAGATAGAGAACAATAGATGGATTCCACTGGAATATTTAAGAGACAGTTAAAGCATGTGTACAGTGCCTCATGCAAAGTTGGTTGTTGATTGACTATGAGCTAGAGAGGGGTAACTAGTATGATTCCCAAGGCTTAGCATTAGCAGTGCTCAGGTCCATTTTATAGAAATGCAGAACTCTGGGGGAGCACCATGGTTGGGGAAATAGGTTATAGGTTTGGTTTGGCATAACCATTGCTCTGAAAACTCATTCTCATTCGGATATAATTCAAGTATTCTTTCACAACAGGGGTTGGCATAAAATGATCACATTATACTGTACAAACCTACCTTTGGATGTATAACTACCTGACCTTTGCAGTTGGTGAAGACTGTGTGCTAAGGGAGTGATAATATGCAATTTAAATTTTATGAAATAATTTCTTTTACGAAAATATCAGTACTTACGCATTGCTTACTTGATGCAGATTGGAGGTTGAATCATTTTGCTTTTCTGAAACAGCGCTGATTATTTGTAATATAATCTGGGTTAGGTTCATACTTATCTCATCACACTTTGAAATCTCAGCTACTTTAGAAACAATAATCCTGGTCTCTTCTTCATCCAGAGGTGGAGATTCATTTATCAAATTTAAAATGTGCTCTGCAACATCATCCGCATTCTCTAGGGAAACAAGGTGGAAATGTACAAGTTCTATCACTATCCTTAATTTGGGGCCATGCTGGTCTGCTTCCTTCCCTTTAAAAACTGAATGGTATGAAATGGAAGTACATATCAGATAACACAGGTCACAGAAGGAAAACATTGGACCTCAACTTCTACAGTACATGTAGTCCCAGAAGATAGCTCTAAGTCAAGTTCTTATTCATTAAACCCTTTTAAAAATACTCCAGGGAAATTTTTTTGTCACTGAGGAATTATCGTGAAATTTGATTCTAATTAAGTTAAGGCTGTTGAGTATTGGATTGAGTTAAGTAGATTCCACCTGTCCTCAAATATCAGCAAACACACAGCCTATGTTTTCACAATTGAGGGGGATGATTATAATTTTCTGTCAAGAACCATCAACCTACAGGAAAAAGCAAATATGGACCACATAATAAAAAGCAATTAATTTAGATGTTCTAGACAGTAAGAACAATAGATATTAACTCGCCCACTTTTTTCTTCACTTTTTATTATGGAAATTTTCAAGCATCCACAAAAGTAGAAAGAATAGTATAATGAACCTCGTGCAGTTCATGAATCACCCAACTTCAACCAGTGTCAATAAAAGGCTAATCTTATTTTAATTATCTTCTCTCTCACCAACCTTTGCCCTTAGTTCAGATTATCTGAAAGCAAATCCCAGGTATAGTATTTCGTCTATAAATAAGTTAGTACTATCGCTAAAAGAAAAGACTTCAGTGTTAACCACAATTCTAATTAAATTAAAATGAAGATGAGAAATTAGCAATAGTATTCATAAATATCAAATATTCAGTCTTTAATTGTTCCATAAATGCCTTTGTAAATAATTGTCTGACCTTCCTCCTTGTTTAAAGTTAAGAGTCTTGTTAAACAATTGCAATGCAAATTAGATTTTAGTTCAATGTAACTCATATAAAGCTTAGCTTCTTTGTGATGTTTTCCTACTTAAAGCACTTAAATTCAAGGCCAGTAAATAAAATATGAAGGAAAACAGTTGAAAAAATAGTCTGTTAATAAGAAAATGCCCAGAGAGAGATCACATTCATGACACATTTAACCATGAGTGCTGACAGATTTGGGGGGGGGTAATAATTTTCCATAAATCTCTCTCTCTCTCTTTCCCTGCCTCCCTCCTTCTCTCTCTCCTTCACCGTCAGCAGCATCTCTCCACATATCTTTGCTACCTTGATTTACCAACTATATCTCCTCAAAGCCTGTACAGGCTATTTTTTTCTTTCTCCATTTCTCCCTTCATTTTCTTCCTTTATTGTCTTTTTCTACAAAGAATTCCATTCTCATCAGTGCAAATTAAGCATTCTTACCTGAGGTCCTCTCAACACTCCCAACCATTACCCCAATCTGCCCAACAATGGCTTAGATGGGAGCCCAGTGGGCAAAGACAGGGCCCTCCCTGAGGAGATGGGAAGAAGGGGAGGGACTGACTAAACCCGTAATTGTTTCTCAAGTAGTATTTTGTCCCTGTAGATATCTATCTTCTGGTTGGTTAAAGAAACCAGAAACATAGTAAGATTAGGGATGGAAGAAAAAAGTAGTGAGCTCATCCATGAATATTTCTACTGCTCTTATTAAATCGTTCAAGCTTTGTTGAAAATGGAACAGCCACGCTGCCCAGTCATGATTCTTTGGTTTCGGTGGTACGACCTCACTTCATGCCCTCCCTGCTGTGGCAGAGTGAAAGTAAACAACAGGCCAATGGGAGACTAACCATACTGTGGAAAGTAATTACGGATGTTGCACCAGGAGTTATATACTTTTTAAGGGAAATTCAGGATAAATTATACTCATTGTTTAAAAATCCTAGGTCCCCAAGCAAAAGTAATAAAAGGAACCTTCCTTTATTGATGGTAAAATGAATAGATCCGCATTGCTTTAACTACTGTTACAATTAATTGGTCAATAATTGTAATAATCAAAACACTATCTGTTATTTACTGAGCAATTTCTGTGAGTCAATCATCTAGTTACCTATTGCTGCATAACAAATCACCCCAAAGTTTAGAGCTTAGACCAACAACAAATTGTTATCTCTGAGGATTACTGAGGGTTATGAGCAGTTTTCACAGGGGATCTCTCATGCAGTTGCAGTCAGATGGCAACCTCAGCTGGACACATCTGAAGGATAGACCTGGCTAGAAGTTCAGAAATGGCGCACTAGGCACCGGGGATGTAGCTCAGCAGGAGAGTGCTCTCCTAATATGCACAAGGCTCTGGGTTCCACCCCCAACGCTGCAAAAACAAGGCAGCACTCACGTGACAGGCTTTCGATATTGACCATGTGCTGCTCAGTTAGGGCTGGGGCCTGCACTCTTTGCATAAGATTTCTCCCAGTGCCTTTGGCTCAGTGGTATGCTGGATCTGGCCTGTGATGTGCCAGAGCCAATTTACACCAGCGTAGGACAATCATTTTCGAATCTCAGGGAATTTTGTGAGCTGGATATTAAATACAGACATTATTAAAAATTAAATAATATTAATTATTATTAAATATATTGAAAACAGTGGTGACGCTCAAAACATCACTCCGTAAGTATTTTGCCATTATATTGATCCATGGTTTTTCATTGTTTATATTCACTGTCTCTGTGTGGACAACTCTTAGTAACTTCTTAGTTCAGTGACCACACATAGTTCATATTCAGCCATGGGAGAAGTATTGAATTATGAAAATTAGCAACTGCTACAAATTACTACCTTTCTTTAATAAAGATGGTTGTGAAATATTTTCCAGCATATTGCTAGGATTTTTCCAGCTTGATATCTGGGTTCTGAGAAGAGGCATCCCAAATGAAAGTGTATCAAAAGAAAGAATGTAGAAATTTCTGGTTCTCTTAAAAATTAATCTCACAATTGGCTGTGTCACTACTTCCAGATTCTACTGTACTAGGCCAGTGATGGCGAACCTTTTAGAGATGGGTGCTCAAGCTGCAGCCCAAAACCCACAAAGTGCCAACACTGCAATTAAACCTGAGTACTGAGGTTTTACTTTAGAAAAAAACAACTCAAATATTAACATCTTCTGTCTCAAAAGAAACACAAATAACATATGTGCCATAGGTTCACCACTACTGTACTAAACAGTCACAAGCCAGCCCCAATTGACAAAGAAGGAATGAGTTGGTGCTTAGCATTTTGGAGACCAGATGCAACAGCAAGACATTATACAGGTATTTTGACATTTATTCATCACAATAACCCTATGTCAGTAGTGGAGAACCTACGGCACTTGCTCCACATCCAGCTGTTTATTATCATCAAATGCTCTAAAAGGTTCATTATCACTGCCTTATGTGATGAGTACTTATATATTATCCCCTTTACACAAATGAAGAAATTAAGACACTAAGAAATTCTAATCCACTCTGACCCCAAAGCTTGAGTTCTTCAATAACATTTTTACTGCATGCCTTTACTTCATTTCCCCATTTTGTTGGGGATTGGAATGGCAGCACTTTGCAGTCCTTCTGCTTGACCTCCTGGGGATGTAAACCAAGCCCTGGTGCATACTAGGCAAACACTCCATCACTGAGCTACCCCACCCCACGCTATCATCCATTGTTCATTAGTCACTGTCCTGCCCTGATGGTAGGATGAACACAGACAGGGAAGAATTTTTTTTGAAAAGTCTTAGACAACTTCATTAGAGCCTGGTGCATCTTCAATAGGTGGGTAACGAAAATTGAGCGCAAAAAAGAGCTCAAAGAACTTTGAGATAAGTGTACCATTTTAAACCTTGTGGTATTAAGGAGTCAAGAAAAAACAGCATCTAAGTGAGAGAGCTAAAGAGTGTTTCTCCAACAAAGATATCAATCTAATGCTTGTCAGCAAGATTAAAAATTAAATAAAATAAATTATTTCAACATGAATACATCTTTATTTCCTTCACATTATACTCCCTATTTGTTAAGCTCCTAATTTACAAGATGAGGATTCCTCCAAAGCTAACAAACTTTTTTAGTTATATACATTACAGTCACCATCCAACTGCTCTCTTACTCCACAGTAGTTTATATATTATATATTATGACACATATTTAGATAGCATCCATATTCATTATATAAGTATAATATACAATTAATAGCTTAGTTGTATATCATACGTTAACATGTGTGTTTAGCTACATACATTATGATCATCATCCAACTATTCTGTTACACCAAAGTAGTTTCTATATATATATATGTATATGTATATATATAATTACATACAGTATATATAGTGTATAGTATATAAAGTATATTTACATAGTATAAAATATTCATATGTATTATATATGTATTATGTATAATTGATAGTTTATTTTTATATAATAGTAATGTGTATCTTTAACTATATACTTCATAATCACCATCCATCTGTTCTCTTACTCCATGACAGTTTATATATAACATATATATGATTGTACATACATTACACAGGTATATATAAACATATATTTGTATATAGTATTTATATGCTATATATATGCACATGTTTGTACTATAATATATATAATGAGGTCTCACAGTCAATTTTCTAAAAATCCCAACCCACAAAACCCACCCAAAACAGTGTTTTTGCTGTTGTTATGGCTGTTTCTTAACTTTCTCTTCCACAAGAGAAAATTCTATCAGCAGGTCTCTAGAAAATGTGTCACTTAGGAGGGAGGTCAGCATGGAACGCAGACCTCCTTCTTTCCACCCACTCACTACAAGCTGTGATACTCCCTGCTGCCCTGGTTCATGACTTCTGAGTTTGAAATCATAAGGGTTGTGCTTGCTTTCCTAATCCTTCCAGACATTGCTTGGGAAGGATCTCAAATTTTTATCTTCTGTAAGGAAGACAAGCCTGAGATGTCAATTGCCTCCAAGCTAATTCCCTGGCCTTACTGCTAGGCACTAGTGCTCTGACAATTTCTTATGGCAGAGATCCAACCTATACAGTAGAGCTGTGCCAGAATTATGCAGAAACTAAAATTCTACTAGGGAAACAGATTCAATGTCTGGTGAGGTCCCAGTTCCTGGTTCATACACAGCTATTCTCACTATAACCTCACATGGTAAAGGGCAATAAAGCTGCTTCAGGCCTATTTTAGAAGTGCTTTCAGGAGGGCTTCACTTTCACGACCTAATAACCTTCCAGAGACCCCCATCTCCAAATATCTTCTCACTGGGATCAGGATCTCAACCTGTGAGTGGTGGTGGGGCATAAAAATCCAGTCTATAGTATACTTGTTGCCAAAAAACACACACAAGTGACAAGTGAGCTTATGAAGATGCCCAACACCATGTGTCAGTAGGGAGCTGCAAATTAAACAATAAAATACTTCTCCATATCTGTTAGAATGGCCAAAATCGAAAATACTGTGAATATCAAAAGCTAGCTGGGATATGGAGCAACAGGAGCTCTCCTTTACTGTTGATGGTAATGCAATGGGGTACAGCCACTTTAGACGATAAAGTGGAATGTTCTCACAAAACTAATCATACTCTTCTCATGTACTTCAGCAAACATACTCCTTGGTGTTTGCCCAAATGAGTTTAAAACTTACATTCATATGAAAAGCTGTACATAGGTGTTTAGAGCAGCTTTAGTCATAATTGTCAAAATTTAGAAGCAATCAAGATTGCCTTGAATTAATCAATGGATAAATAAACTTTGGTACCTCCAGACAACAGGGTGCTATTCAGTGCAAAAAAGACATGAGTTATCAAGGCATGACAAGACATAGAATAACCTTAAGTGACTATTACTAAGTACAGGAAGCCAACCTGAAAAACCTATATAGAGTATGACTCCAACTATATGACATTCCAGAAAATGCAGAAACATGGAGACAGTAAAAAAGATTAGTGGTTTTCACAGTTTGGGCAGAATGAGGGATGAGTATGTGGAACACAAAGGGTTTTTAAAGCAGCTAAATCATTGTGTATGATACTCAGTGCTGGTGGCTACACGCCACTATACATTTGTGCAAACCTACAGAATGTACAATGAACCCTAATATAAACTACGGACTTTGGGGGATAACGATGTGCCTGTGTAGGTTCATCCATTCTAACAAATGCACCACTCTGGGGAGAGTGCCCATAGTGCGGGAAGGCTGTGCATATGTCCAGGAATGCATATGGGAACTCTATAATTTATGTTCAATTTGCTGTGAACCTAAAATTCTGCTAAGTAAATAAACTATTTAAAAATTAACAAAAGTCAAAACCTTTTAGCTACACTGACCAAGACAGAAAGCACAAATTACTAAAAGTGGGAATATGGGAGTGAAGGTGTATGTGTTGATCGGGGGATGTGTTACGACCAACCACAATTCTTAAAAGATGGCCAATAATAAGTGTTCGTACTGATGTAAGGAAATCGGACCCTTCTTACAGAGTTAGCAGTGGTGAAAAATGGTGCCACTTCTGAGAAAAACTGTTTTGCAGTTCCTCCAAAGCCATTCATAGAGTTACTATATGACCTAGCAATTCTACTCTTTGATGCTATATATAAAAGAAGAAGACATATGTATACACAATAATTTGTACATATATGTTCATAGCCAGATTACTAATAATACCCAAAACGTGGAAAAAAACCAAATGTCCATCAGTTGATGAGTAATAGCCAAATGTATAATAGCCATGTAACAGAATATTACTCAGTCATAAAACGAAATAGAGTGCTGACACATACTACATATACCACATGACTCAAAAAATTAGGAAATGCTCAGAATATCATAGAAAAGGGAAGTAAATTCATGTCTGCCAGGAGATAATGGGAAGGAGACATGGAGAGGCTGGGAATGAATTAGAGTTTTTTTCTGGGGTGATGAAAATGTCCTGGAATTAATGATGATAATTACACAAACTAGTCAATATGCTTTAAAAAATTCACTAAAAACAACCTGCTGAATATTAAATAAATGATATGTGACTGTGTCTATTAAAAAGTTTTAAAACTACATTAAGATACCAATTTTTGCTAATCAAATTTCCAAAGATCAGAAGTCTAAAATCGTCTTCTGTTGATCAAGCCATTCCAAAACAGGAGCTTTAATACTTTGCAAGTGGGAGTATAAATTGGTACAACTATTACAGAGAGCATTTTTGACGACATCAAAAGTATGACTGACCTAGCAATTCGACTTTCAGAAATGTGCACTTCAGGAGAACCCTATTTGCACAAAATTGTGACATATGTGTAATAGCTATTACAGCAGTTTTTTTTAATATTCCCACTTGCAAGTTAAGCAGGTGCCAGCTTCAAAGCACCTTCATCAACACAGTGTGTTATTTATTAGGCTTTTGGATCTTTGATGATTTGATCAGCAAAAACTGGTCTTTCCATGTAGTTTAAAGAAATGCACCTTATTTGGGGTCCATTTTATCTAGCAACATAGAATATAGAAACAACTTGTTACAAAACAAAATAAAAGCTAGCATGGTCTCTAAGTGCATTTCTTTGTTGTTGGTGATGATGGTGGTACTGGGGATTGAACCCAGTGCCTTCACACTGAACTACATCCCCAATAACTTTTATTTTTTAATTTAAGACAGGGTCTCACTAAGTTGCTAAATTACCCAGGCTGGTTTGGAATTTGGTTTGGAACTTGTGATATTCCTGGCTCAGCCTCCCCAATTTTGAGATTACAGGCATGTGCCACTGTACCTGGCAGGTATTTTTATTTTTTTTTTTATTTTAAGGAGAGTAGTAAATGAGACACAAACAAAAAAAAATAGAACGATAGCAGCATACCAGTATCACAAACATAAACAAACCAAAGCAAGAACATTCAAAGTGATACAGTGTATCAAGACAAAATAATACGAATTAACAGTGGTTGTTATATTACATATAGCTATCCTCAACTATGTTGCTCAGATTACCAGATATAAGAATGGAAGACTGTTCAAACCATTAAAGAGAATAAGAAAATAGTTATTAGATAAAACATTGGAGATAATACAGAGTTTCACTAGACAAGATAGTAGGAATTCACCATGGTAATTCCATTGCATATTGTTACCTTCGAATCAGCTGTCCAGATTACCTGACACAAGCATGCAATATTGATCAGAACATAAATATTTTTAAGCATTAACTATCCTTTCAATACACCATCAGACATCAGCAATACAGTCATCGCAGCTATTCATATATGTATTTATATTTTGCCTTCCTTCTTTCTTTTTTCCTTCTTTCCCTCATCCCAGTCCTGGCAGGTATTTTTAAATGAAAGACAACCTTCATTATCAGGTGCTCAGAGAATGCTAGTCTAAAATACTTTACACACCAAAAAATTTTTTTTCAAATGTTGAACTATTTTCTTTATAATAAAAAGTATAAATAAATAAAATAATCTTATAGCAGTATTTTTAATGAAAATGCTATTATAACCTAAATATACATAGGAAGCAGCTCAAATAAATAAATTGGAGCCTTACTCAGAGAAAAAAGATGAGGGACTGGTGGGCAATAGGTACTACATTGCCATTGGACAGGCAAAAGAAGCTCTGGTGCGCTATACATAACAACTACCTACTGTGTCTTTCAGAAAGCTAAATAAGTGATTTTGAATATTTTCACCACAGAGAAATTATAGATGTTTGAGGAAAGAAATGCAATTGCCCTGATTTGAGCATTATGCAATTACATGGTAGGTACTCCATTAATATGTACAGCTTTTATGTTTTTGTGAATCTATTAAAATTGATTTAATAAATAACTTCTGAGTAAATAAATAAATTAGTGGCACACTCGTGTAGTGCACTACAATGGGGGGTGAGGAAGCTCTTTATACAATGATAATAATAATCTCTTCAATACACTGTCAAGAGAAAAAAGTAAGATGCGGGCACAGTGTACGACATGCTCCTATTTGTATTCAGAAAGGACGGAGAATGTGTATGTGTATAACCTCTTAGGTGGGCACTCTGTCTCTGTGGCTAGTAACTGCATGGTGGGGTCACCTGTGGGAAGGAGATGATTCACTCTATGTCTTCCTGTTTTTCTTTTTTTTTTTTAGTCTTTTTTTTTTTTGGTTTTTCTCCGGTACCAGGAACCGAACTCACGACCTTGAGCTTGCCAGGCAGGCGCTTTGCCGACTGAGCTAAATCCCCAGCCCCTCTTCCTGTTTTTCTTAAATATTGAGCTATATAAAGTACTGTCTATTAAACCTTTTAAAAATTAAAGTGGAAAATAAAAATTAGTAAAACTTATAAAACAAAGCAAACTTCCAGATAGTCCTAATTTTTCATGCCTCCCATCAACTCCACCAACATTAACAACTTACTTTCTAAAACCACATTGTTATTTGCCTGTATTCTCTCTGGTCTCAAGTCAACTAGGAAATCTAACTGAAGGTCTCAGGTCAACTGGGAAATCTAAGATGTGTACGAAACCATCTTACCGTCATTTACGGTAATATTAGCAAGATCCACAATCTTATCAGGAAGTCCTTGAAGCAACTTGCATTGCTTAAACCTTGGTTTTTCCCACTGAGATTTGCCCGTTTGGATGTTGATTGAACTGAAAAAGAGAGATGAGATGGGACAAATTAAAGGCACCATTCAGCTTTCCCATTCAAGGAGACAAGGAGAGTGTCAAAGCAAGTAGTGAAGGAGTAGGTCTATCTTTCCCAGGCATCCTCCTCTCTCACCCCCAGCGTCCTTCCCAGATAACACAGACGGGAGCCCAGTCCTTCCGGATAAAGTGAAGAACTCTTTGCTCCCGGAGGACAGGTGAATCTCGGGTTAGAATGTGGAGGCGTGAACAGGTAAGAATGCTGCGGAGGGAGCATGGCAGCATCCAGTTGACAGCGTCAAGGCAGCGATGATGGCCCTGTAGCCACGCCACTGTACCTTCACTTTCCCCTATTTCTAAGAGGAAATTCCTGTTGACATGCCTTCTCTAGCTGAGCATATCCATTATGTCAAGGTGGTTAGTATAGAAACCTCTGTAGCTCATTGGCCCCCATCGTCCACCCTCTTCTGTGTCTCATCTGACTCAACCCAGTGTAAGTCAGGCAGCAAGCTTCTTGCTCTAGGAGCAGCGATAAGCAGCACAGGAAAGTAGGGCAGGGTCCCAGCCCTCCTGGAGGAGCTTGGAATCCAGTAGTTTCACAGTCTAAATGTAACTTCTCTACAATTAGACAAAATGTGGGAAGAAAAGCTGTAGAAACAAAGTGAACCTATCAAAGCACCAAGCAAGGAGAACTTATTTTCAGAAACGTTTGAACTGAGCCTCGTACCCAAAGGACAGCGACAGAGACACCTGCCCCTGCCCCACTTCTTGCCCCCTTTCCATGCAGAGCAAACTGCACAAGCAGAGAGACACAAGGAAGTCTCCAGTGAGCCTGGAATAACAAATGGTCTTTGGGGCTGGAGCACATGGTAAAGGGAGAAAGTAATACCGCAGGATAGGAAGTCTTCGGTCTTGAGGACTGTATTCTGGGATCGGGCCTTCATTCTTGAGGAGATGAATGATGAGGTGGTATCCAGACCTTTGGAAAATCGTGCTGGCAGCCGTGTGTAAGAGAGGGGGTGGTGGATGGGTAGAAGGCAAAGGGACTGCTCTAATAGTAGACAAAGGCTAGTAAAGAGCTTGCACCAGGCAGTGGGATTGGAGAAGAGAGGCTTTATATGAGAGCACTGACTGCGGCTGCCAAAGCTGCCTGCCTTGTTGGCTGATTAGGTGCAGGCAGGGCAAGGTGGGATGCAGTCAGGAGTGTGGCTTTCTAAAAGAGTGCTTTTAAGCCTCTTTCAAAACCTGGGCCCTCTGCTCTTGCCCACTTAAGTTAATGGCATAAACCATTAACAGCCAGAGTAAGAAGAAAGGGCTGATGATTTTAAAAAGGAAAATGATAAAGCCAACAATAGAAGAGTGATTTAGTAAATTATTATGGCCCATCAACAAGATAGCATCTGAGGCTAATTTTCAAAATGATCATTAAGAAAATGAATGTAAAACATGGAAAATGTTTGATAAACCATTGAGTGAAAGGGTAAATTACATTATTGGTGTGAGAACCGTGATTGCCATTGCAGAAAACTTAAAAGCCCACAGACAAAGATTAGATGGGGAGAAAAGAATGCCAGCCAAAAAGCAGCTGTGTTCAGGTGGGGAGATCAGGGGTGGCTTTTTCCTTTTGCTTTCTGGAAATTGTTTCGTGCTATTTTGCATGTATATGTTTAAGTCCAAATGTTGAAAGAAGGAAAGAAAGGGTAACAATAGAGGTAGAAGGAGGGAACATGCTCACACAGACGACATCGACTCATGCTTCGCACCAAGCAGATCTTTGTGTGTGTGAACTAGCAATTAGAACACGGCCAGTACATACCAGATTCTAGTGGCGTTTCCATCCTCATTTTTTATGCATCTAGCTTGGGCTGTCTCAGTAGGGTTGGTTAATAGCCACTTATATGTCCCTTTGTATTGAGAGGGTGTTTCATCTGCTTTGCACTTTCCTGGCTCTACAGAGAAAATGTATGCATAATTTCAAGGGCAAAAGGCACTTAAAAGTATCATGAATATCCATTATAGACCCATCATTATTACCGTGCAAACAAACATTAGCAAATAAAAGAGGAAACTACTCCTAGAAGGCCATTTAAACCAGGCTTCATGGAAAATAGCTTTAAATGGAGTCTTTTTGTTTAAATAAGCCACACAGTATTACCACAATCTTAGTCCTTTTCATTAAAACCACCAGTTGACAGAAGAGTTTTTTGTTTTGTTTTGTGTTAATGGTACATATTCTTTGGGGAAAATTCCAGCCAACCAAGGCAGTGTCAGTGTAAAACGTTAGAACCTGCCAATAGCCCTTCTTCCAAAGTACCCACTGTTCTCAGTTTGATGTGCAAACACGGGAGACTCTAGCCCCACTTCTCTTCCTGGATGGTCACCTCCTGCTTAATGGACTCTGAGATGACTTTGGCTTTAGTAAGTTCAGTGCACTTGCCGTGACCAGTACTGGCACGGAAGCTCCATTTCTGATGCTGGTGCTGAAGAACCGGACTGACTCCTCCATAGGAGGCTGCTAGGCCAACATTGTGTTGTGAGGTGTTGTCACATTGCAGGAGATGCACTCTGGGCTAAATCTACGCGATAAGTTTCCAGTTTCACTGAGTACCCAGGGGGTGTGTGAACCTGATCCTGAAAATCCCACCCTTAGGTGTTGATAGAGTGGCTCAAGAAGTAGCCCAGCCATCCCAGTCTCCTTTGTAGGCAGAAGTGAGAAGTCCCTTCCTTTCACTCTCAGAACACATTCCTTGGCATCATTTACATGGTGGGCTACGTCTGTGGCTTCCACACTTGTCTCCCTTCGCCCCATTCTCTCACTCATTCACCCTCAGCCTGCCCTCTGCTACTTAACTAGCTTGCTGCCAAGGATTGCATTAGAAATGCCTAAGGTGTTGTCTGGGCTTACTCAAAGTGGGGAAGAAGAACAAAGCTGGCAACAATGGGAAGGAGGTGGAGTGGCCTGGGAACCTACCTTCTTCTTTTACCATTAAAGCCCTTCTAATCAGAAAAGAACATGCCCATGAGAGAAATCTGGAGCACTTCTAGATTACTTGCCAAGATAAATAGGATGGCTGAATCAATCAATAAATTAGGACCTATTAGGCATCTATTTTGTGTAACAAGGAAGCTTGCCAGCTATTTGGGTATTATGCAAGAGAAGCAGTCCTCCAAGTCTGTGGATGAGCTTGCCACTGCTAATAGGTAATATCCACAATTGGCAAACAGCCTCTTGTAAACTCTCCAACCCTGCTCTTTTATGAACCCTTGAAAGTACAAAGATCATCAATAGCGTAGTAACTGTGGATGTGAAAAATATCATAAAGATGACTTGTCTTCACTCTGAACTTAGAATTCCTTACTATGAATGGATTGTGACTTTAAAATAATAGAAGTGAATTCATACTGAAGTACCCCGCCAGAGTAATTACCTAGCTTTTTCACTACAACATGGTCAGACTTTACCAACAATATCAAGTTATCTTGTGTGAAGTTTCCATGTGTGAGGTTTCCATATATTTTATTTCTGATCCGGCTGATCAGTTCCATGGGCGCCAAAGAGGAGCTGGCCTTTATTATAGCCTGACAAGCACAGCTAAAAGAAGTAAGACAAAAAAGGAAATGTTGCAGTTATATCAACAGAATGTGATGGGGCCTACAGTTCTGAAATGCTGTATAGTTGCCTTAACTGGTAGTCCATAAATGTCAAAAAAATTTATGCTATTAAGAGACAAGTCTGAAGAAGTGATGAAAGATAGCATATTTAGATTTTCTGTTGAATTTTCTTGTATCCAAATCAGAAAACTCAAAACCTGTTTTCAAAAGAGTGATCAGCAACATTTGTGTTATGCTAAACTGACTAGCCATAAGGCTTCTCTAGGAGTGTGTAATACTTAATAGAGAAGCTGGAGTACTCAGGATTTATTATTTCAGAGAAAATCTTTTATCCTCTGGTCTCCAATTTCTTCATCATCACTGCAATAAGGGAAATAGGCACATGCTCAATTAGTCTATAAAGATGTGTCCTGCAGAAGGCTTACTTCTATCAGAGAATACTAAGGATGATAATGATAGCTAACTTTTGTGGGGCTCTTGCTCCTCATACTTTGATTCATTAGTGCGCTTACTCCCATGCTGCAGAAGACGGAAATGAACTTTAGGAAGACGTGATCCACACAATAATTCTATCACTAAAAGCTACCTCAGCCTCCGTAGTAGAGACCTTAACATGCTACATTCCTCTAATATTCATTAGGCACAAGCTTCCAGATTCACAAACTTACCTCTATCTTTTCTTTCCATTTCCACTTGCACATGTAGTTTTTTGAAGAACACACTTGAATTTTCTACCAGTTGTTGAAAGTTAGAGATCCTTACTGAAAACTTCTCTCTTTGTCCAATTTAAATGCTTCCATCCTCTCTCCTGATCAATACGAGGTGAAGTCCCTGCCCATTCTTACCCATTACTATCCATTCCGTTTGGAGCTTTTCTCTTCTCAGCTTTCTAATTTCCAATCTAAAGAGAACCCCTGTTTTTAAACCTCTCCTCTTGCTTACGTTAGAACCTCTATCCCAGAACCCTGAACGTTTCAGTGATCTCTTCATGAGCCTTCTTTAGTTATACAGTAAGTCCTTTAACATGTACATCCAACAGATCAACAATAACCAGGTTTCAAGGGAGAGCTGGACTCCAAGTCTGAATAGGACAGGAGATGCCTTCCATGTCGTTGTTGTCATTTTCAATTTCCCTGCTCAGTATTTCATGGGTTTTATTGATCACAACAAACACTTTATTGCCCTATCCCTAAATTATAACCACTTTCGATCCCATTTTCTTTTCACTACAAAGAGGCAGCAGGAAGGCTGCCAGGCTATGTTGTGACCAACTGAAACAACTTACTTCTTGAAGGCAAGAGCCTAATTACAGCGTCTGTAAAATAACCACCAGGTGCTTTGATCTCCTTCTAACAACTCTGACCAACAGGATGCACGTACGGAATTAAATGGGAAGGAAATCAGAACTAAATGTACCAGCTATGAATAAACTCAGTTCCTACCTGTACGGTACACGGGAAATTGTAGCCATTGCTTGCCCTTCTCTCTGTTCCAACTGATGCAAAAGAAAAGCATATAGTCACCGAAATCTTTAAACAAATGTCAAATTTGAGTGCAGGGCTTTTTGTGAACAACAGCGCCCATAATTATACTTTGCATTTATATAAACCACTGCTGTCTGCAAGCCACCTTCAAGCCTCCAGGGTGGGCAATATAAGGACTGTCACCCCATTTTCTCGGTGAGTCTCAAGGAAGTTAAACGATCTCCCCCACATGGTACAGCTGATGGATTACAGAACTGGGAGCAGAATCAAAGCAGTCTGGATATGGATAGTAACACAGTGGTGGCAATAATAAAAATTAAATATTTAATGGCTCTGAACTCTGTGCTAAGCACTTACCATAAAGTACCTCATTCTATCCTTCTAACAGTACCCATTTCACAAATGATTAAGTTGCACCAGGTCTAACAGGAAGTAGAGGAGCAAGGCTGCTTGACCAGATTATGAACAAAAAAGGTTTTACAACATTTTATTTGAGAGAAATGTTATACATAATGTGTTAAAGTTAAAAATTCTGACAGCTGTTTAGAGGAATACTTTTTTGTTGTTGTTTTGTTTTATTTTTCTGGTACAAGGAATCAAACTCACGACCTTGCGCTTGCCAGGCAGGCATTGTGCTGCTGAGCTAAATCCCCAGCGCTATAGGAAATACTTTAAATGATGGCAGATAATTTGAAATGCATGTAGGCTTGATTATATTTTGTATAGTTACAATATTTATCTCCTATTTAAATACCTTAAAAGCTGTGCGCTGTCTAATCATTTTAGAGTGCACCATTTTAAAGTTAGGAGGCACTGGAATAAGTACTAAGATTTGAGGCAAGGCTGATGGGAGAGAGCTTTGTCGCACTCTTACTTCAAATGTGTACAGAGAGTGCATTTAGATTTCTTATGTGAATGCCAGTCTTGCAAGCAATTGTGTCACTCTTGGAAGAGTCAAGCTTATTTGCAAAAAATTCCACTCCCCATTTCCATTACCCAAGACATTCTATACACCTGTAGCCCACAAAATGTGCCTCAAAAGCTTGCCACATGGATAGTTCAGCAAAGCAGGGCATGGTTTTCATGATGGGTTCTTGTGGCAATCCCAAAAGAAGTAATGTGGTTTGACCCTCGGTTAGCACTGTTGAACCTTGCCTGTTTGTATACTCTCGGATAGAAGATCTATTTACTCTGTATCTAATCAGGTATAGAATGGATTGCAAGTAGATTCATTTTGACAAATTACTTACAATAATCCGATACAAGGCCATTTCTTCCTTAGAAATGTTTCTGTAACAAAAGTGTAACAAAATTATAGAAGACTGAAATGCAGTACTAAATATATAGGACCCAAGACCAGGATAAAAACTGAAGCACAAGGTAGAATTCCTCTAGTTTTGAATTTAAATACTGCTAGGGCTCCAACTGGACCCTTGAAATCAGCTCAGCCATTATTTGGATACCAAACAGTGGGAAGCCTTTGCCTCAGCAATTCTATCTCTAGGCATCTGTCTCATAATGATAGCAAGGTTGTATAAAAATACATATGCAAAAGTAGAAATAATTTGACTGTCCATTGCTAGATAATTAATGCATATATCATATTATATTGTAGCCACAAAAGGAATCTTATACAATTAAAATTAGTAAGCTGGATTTATATGTATTGGCCTAAAAAGATGCATAGGATTATAAAGCAAGAGCATTAAGTTGTTAAACAATATGTAGGATCCCATTCTCTTAGTAAATGTATGAAAACAATCTAGAGGAATATATAAAATAAGCTATCACAGGAGATTTTTTAATTTATTGTTTTGTAGGGCTAGAGATTGAACCTAGGGGCTCACACATGCTAGTCCAGGGCTCTACCAACGAGCCTCATCCCGGCTCTTTACTCGAAGGTGTGGGAAAGGTACATTCCTCACACTAAACATTTCAAGTTCCCTTTGGAATTTCCAATTCCCAAAAGTGCATTGTTCAGAAATAAAAGGTTCTATAAATCCTCATGCATTGGTTATCTATAGCAGTTCATCCCTTTAAAGTATGGTCATCCCTTCTCTAAGCCCTCCGCACTACTGGGGCTTGAACTCAGAACCTGAGTCACACCCTCAGCCCTTTATTACTTTTTAAAATTTTGAGACAGGATCTTACTAAGTTTTTAGGTTGCTCAGGCTGGGGTAGAGCTTTTGATTGATTTTCCTGCCTCAGCCTCCCAAGGTGATGGGATTATAGGCACATGCCACCAACCCCAGCTAGGGCATGATTACTTTTTCAAGTCACAGAATCATGACACTTTAGAGATTAAGAGAGCAACAGAGATAACTCAGTCTAATTTCACTACTTCCTCTACTTAATTTTTTGTTTTTTCCCCCCTCATTGGTTTTGTGCCCTAGAGGAAGAAGACAATCTCTTCCTCATTCCAAAGGGAACTCATACTCAGAAGGGAAGGTGCAAGTGTGGTAGTCCCTAAATCCCACAAATAAAGAAAGGAAATCTCTGGATAGGAACGGACCCCAGAAGGCCCTCAAGTTGACTTTCAACCCACAAAAGATGTCATTCACGTACCTGCTTTTAATTTGGACAGCTAGATTAGTAAGACAAAATTCACTGCCTTCAAATATAAAATTCAACTGCAAAAAAACAAATAAAAAAGAGTCACTTTTCATATTCCTGCTCTTGTATTTTAACTGAACAAATCCCTTGGAACAATATGGTCACTAAGCAGCATTCATTATTTCAGCAGCGCAAAATTTCTTTTTTTTTTGGTCTTTTTGAGACAGGGTCTCGCTATGCAATTCAGACTGGCCTTGAGCTCACTTTGTAGCCCAGGCTGGTCTCTAATTCGTGACGATCCTCCTGCCTCAGCCTCCCAAGTGCTGGGATTACAGGCATGCGCCACAACACCTGTCTTACAGCAGCTCAAAATTTCTATCTGTTCTACTCAGTGTTTCAATTTACATTTTACCCATTGCTATAGGCTGAGCTAATTCCCCCCAAAATTCAAATGTTGAAGTTCTAACCTACAATCTGGTTATATAGGGTGACAGGTTCATTAGTGCAGTAACTAAGATTAAATGAGGCTATAAATGTAGGGCCCTAATTCAATATACCTAGTGTTCTTATGAGAGAAGAAAGACCAGATATGAATATGCACAGAGAAATACCGTGTGAGGATACAATGCAAAGGTGGCCATGTGCAAGCCAAGGAGAGACATCTCACCAGAAATTCAACCCTGCCGGCATCTTTATCCTGGATTTCCTCCTAACAGAACTGTGGGAAAATAAATGCCTGCTGGTTAACCCACTCAGTCTGGGATATCTTTGTAAGGCAGCCTGAGCAGACTGATACACACATTTATTTTAAGCACTCACAGTCATGTTTCTTATACTTGAAAATAAGTGCTGATGGGGCGAGAGGAAACCAATGTGATCATTCACTATTAGATGGAAGGTACAAGTTGGTCATTCTATCTGGGAGACCATTTAGTGATAACACAATTTTTCTGTTTGTTTTCTTTAACTGAGGTGAAATTCACGTAATGTAAAATTAATTTTGAAATCTATATAGTTCAGTGACATTTAATGTATTTCAATGTGGTGTACCTACCACCTCTCTCTAGTTTGGGCTTTTGCATAGCCTGTAAAACATCCCACACCCATTAAGTAATCATTCTCCACTCTACTCCTACTTCCTAATAACCACTGACCTGCTTTGCATTTCTGTGCATCTGTCTATTCTAAGATATATTCTATTAACAATAACAAAATGCATGATTTTTAAGTCTATATTCTTTCATCTAGCATACTATTTAGAGTTTCAAAGTGTACAGTTATAACATTTGATCCAGCAACTCCAATTCTAAGAATTTATCCTACAAAAATACTCAAATGTTAGATTGATCAAACAATTAAACATTATGTAATACAATAACCATTGTTAATTTCATGTCACCTTGTCTGAAATTCTGTATTGTTTGTACTGTTTTTGTGTTATCTTGTTAATGCCTGTGAGTTTGTTAATATGTTTTGCTTCTCTTATCTTTAAAATAAAAAAGAAATACTCCAATGTCTCTAAATTTATTGTAAGGGCATTGTTTTCAGAATTATTTAAAAAATAGGAAAAAATAGAAGCAAACTAAATGTCTACCAGTGGATGTCTGGTTTGAAAAACTCAAAACACTTGTTACAACCACATAGTTAAACCCTATGCATGTGTTAAAATGTGTGAGGAGTGACCTGTTTACTATTATGAATATGCTCAGAGATTCCTGGCTAAGGGCTGAAGGTGTAGCTCAGTGGTAAAGCACCTGCCTAACATGCACAAAGACTTGGGGTCAATCTCTAGCACCACAAAAGAGATACTGCTTTAGACGTCAGTGTCTGAATTTTTCTGAAGTGTTTATATTAGTCTTATTATCAGAAGAATACATAAGGACAAATAAAACACTCATTTTGTTGGAAAGAGAGAAAAGTTAAAAAGCAGAAAGCAAAGATACTTAAATACAATGACATAGGCTTTGTTATCACTGCTTTTCTATTTTCCCCAAGTAGGAAAATTGAGCAAAGACTCAGAATTTGTATCAATGGGGGGAAATGTACAGATGTAAACAAATGAAAATAACATTTCATAAAAGCTTTCAGCATCGGTGCTGTGAAGGAGAGATTGAATAGGTCCTTGAAGTGTTGCCTACAGAGTAGATAGATTTGCAATGAAAAAAAATAAAAATTAGTTATCTGTGAAAAGGCTTATCAGTAGAAAAAAGTATACTTTTAATCTTCTCATTGTTTGTCACATATATTCATATATACCATAAATATTCAAAATAGTATTTTACCCAATTTTTCACAAATTCTTGTATAGCACCGGCAGTAGGGACCCTTGACTCTTCATCAAGCACAGAGAACCTCATTTCAATATTGTAGAAGGAAACTGTAATTAAAAATAAGGAGGTTAATTTTATTTAGTTAGTTCAAGAAACTTAACTTTTGTAAATATGATCAAAGTTACTGTCCAACCTAAAACAGTGAAACATGATTTCTCATTCTTAAATTCTGTTCAGCACCAAGTTAAAAAACCAGCACTTCTGGCTCTGTATCCAAAAGTAAAAGAAAATGTTACCATCTTACTTCTGTTATAACTATTTAGGCATTCTCCTGATTTCTGCACAGTTGATGGACATATTATAATTACCCAAATTATCTACTTTCATTGACCAGCAGATTCCTGTCCATTCAATGGCCAAGCTGAACACTATCGCACAAGATCATTTGTCCTGAGAAAAGAACTAGGTTTTTGTTTTCCTCCTGTGTCTTCCTTTCAGCTTCAGGACTTTCTTTCCTTATGTCCCTCTTATACAATATTTTTATTTTGGAATGTTTAAAGTGGCAGGAACATTCAAATTTTGAACAATATGGAAGCCAAGTACTCCTTGACCACTGGTAAGTATTCCTGGTAAGGTGGATGTACAGAGTGGAGAAGTCTGAGACCTGCACAAGAGGAATTCAAATGGCAGAGTTGAACATAGTGACACGCTTCTATAATCTCAACACTCTGGCAGGCTGAGGCAGGAGGATCACAAATTAAAGATCTGCCTAATTTAATGAGATCTTATCTTGAATAAATTTTTTTTAAAGGTTGGGGCTATAATTTAGTATAAAGGCCCTAGATTTAACCCCCTAGTCCAACAAAAACTTCAGGACAAGATATCTTCTGGTGTTTTCTCATATGTAGTAAGCATGTTCAGACCTAATGCCATATGATTCTCTTACTAGGTATAAGTGATGTTCCTAATCTGTGTTCACATAGGTAGAGTCCGGACATTGAAAACAAAACTAGTGGAAAGAGGTTTAGAAATGTCATGTAGAGTGAAAACATGCTTTTGGATTATATTTCAATAAACATAGGGAACACAGCTATGGGATTCTGAGCCTGGACAAGGTACTCATTGTACCTACTGTCCCAAGGAGATAAAGAACACCTACATTTTTCTTTATCCTTTTCTGCCTTCAGAGAACTGACCCTTAGAGAACACATGGCCCATTGCTCACATGCATAAGGAACAGTACCTATGGACTCACCAGCAATTGGTGAAGTGAGTACTTCTGTAGTTAAAGAGGAAAATGTAGAGTCCAGCCAGGTTGCCTTAAAAGAGGAAGAGATTAGTGAAGATACAACAGCTGTAGAAGACTGTGCCACTCCAGTGGATATGAATGGAAATGAGGGTCCAGTAGTGGTAGATGTAGTAGTGGTTACATTTATAAGGGAGTCCAGTGTGGACTTGGGAAGAGTTAAAGAAGGGGGAGCTGATGTAGCTGAGCTTCTGCTCCATGCAGACATTTTTGTAGGACTAGGTAGAGGCATGGAACCAAAAGATACAGTGTGATCATGTGCAGAAGGTGATACACTCATTCCACTAAAGGATGGAGGTTGGAACACAGTCCTGGAGTTGTCAGTTATAGCGGTTCTGGAGGTCGTCTCAGGGGATGTGAGACTGTACAGGCTGTTATCTGTGACTTTCACAGATATAGGGAGGGAAGTTGGGGAGCCAATAGTGGTACTTCCCACTGTAGGTGTAGAAGTAATTTTGGTGAGTACAGTGCTTCCAGTGGCAAATGGTAGTTTTGGAAAGTTAGTGAATGTATACGTTGGGATCATGTCAGAAGCAGGAAATGTGGATTTGGACACCTCTACTATAGAGGACGTTGCAGCATGAGGAACATTAGATACTGTTGTCAGGGGGGAACCTGATGGAAGACTCGATAAAATCCAAGTGAGCATGGGTGAAGTAGTGATCTTGGGGATTAGAGAAGGATTTGGTGGGAGTGTAGTCCCAGATGTGGTTGTCTTCTCAAATGTGTGTTTACTATCAGGCCACCTAGTTAGGATAGCCCTTACAGATGTTGATAATGAAGGGCTCTCAGAAATCCCCAAATGAGGAAGAATTCCTGATGTGGGATTTGATGATGCTGCCATAGCATCTCTAGAGACCAGACTAGTCCGAGAGGCTGCAAACGTTGACAAAGACCCAGGAACAAAGTGTGGAGTCTCTGCTTCCATCTTGTTGGGTGTAGGCATATGAGTAGTGGTAGCAAGTGGGAACTGAGAATCTTCAGCTCTGTGTGTGTTCCAGGAGGTCATAAGCAAAGACTGGGTATTGCTTGATGTGATTCTTGTCCCCATAATTGGAAATACAACCATTTGAGATGTAGGAGAGATCTTTGGAGTAGAAAACTTGGCTTCAGTCCCATAAGGTGAATAAAGAAGTGATGTCAAAAAGGGTGTAGTTGCACTAGATGGGGTCCACGAAGAGTACAAAACAGGAATCTCCTCAGATGTGGTACTTCTTGTGAACTCACCTGTTAAAGAGGTATTTTCTAACAAAGAAATCTTTCCTGTGTTAGAGGAAGGGTAAGTAGTGGTAGCTTCTATACTTTCTGTGAGTCCAGGTGTGCTCTTAAAGTTAGTCCAAGATGGAGAAACCTGAATATTCAATGAAGTATGACGATTAGCTGAAGGGGTAGATGAAAGCACTGTTTCAGGGACAGGAATTCTAGAATAAGCGTTTGTGAGAGCTGTCGCTCTACCGTTGCTCACAGTAGATATGGAGCTGTTAGTAATCCCAGATAATATGCCCAGAATTGTAACCTTATCTTCTTGTGGTGACTGCTGAGTTGTTGACACTGGTGGGAAAAACGCGGCCTTTGGAGTGGAAGAAACAGCTTCAGTGTTCTTAGAACTGAGTAGTAAAGAGGCAGTGCTGTCTACATCTGAGGTCACTGCCCCAGCCAAAGTAGTGTGTGGAATGATTTTCAAGGACAGAAAAGTTGCCTCTGTTGGAGAGGAAATAGATGTGGGAGTGATCCTGGAGGGCACTTCTGTCATTTCTGAAGTAGTGAAAGCAGAGGAAACCACCGTGCTTTTTGAGGTCAGCCCAGTACATGCCACAAGTGTGACGTTCAGTGTAGATGTCTGCGTAGTCACAGTAGTCCTAGGGGTAGCTGGAGACAATGACTCAGTTGTTGTGGAAGTGTCAGAAGAAACTGCTGCAGGTGAGAAAGTAGAGTCACTGACTGGAACTGAAGCTATCTCAGACACAGGTCCAGAAGGGGTTACTGAGGGACTTTGCAAACAACCTGGGTACGGTGTTCTGGAAGATTTAGCCATTATTATTGTGAAAGGGTTAGAAACTTTGCTGGAGGTGAAGGTAGGGGCACCAACTGGTAATGAGGATATTTGGGAAATAGGAATTGCCGTTTCCAAAGAGGTTTCCCCAAGAAGTGTAGGTGCATTTGGTACAGAAAGGTTTGTAGTGATCCCATTAGTAGAGGTAACTGTAGATTTGGAGTTGGATAGTCCAACTGTGGAAGGAGACAAGGATTTAGGGAAAGGTTGTGTGCTTTCTGAAATAGAAGAGGTAATTGAAGTCACCTCAGGTTGAGTCTCAAGTGAAGAGAACTGTGAAAGTGTTGTGTTGATGAGCTCAGGATTTGATGTCCTAGTTGTCCTGGAAATTGTGGTATCTACAAAGGAAACATTCTGGTGAGTCACAGAGGAGGAATTTACTACCATTTCTACATTCCTGGGAGTATAAACTGAAAGGGCATCTGTGCTTTCCTTTGCAGGAGACAAAAATGAGGTTTTTGTCAGAGACTGTAAAGGAAGAGTTATTTTCCCAAGGCTGTTAGGCATTTCTGAAACGTGAACATCTACTGTCTTATTTGAAGTCAAGGAAGGTGCAACCCAGGTGCTGTTGGACATAGTAGATAAAAGTGAGTTCTCATCAGTTAGAGTTCCAAGTGGAATCTCTGAAGGTGAATATGTTTGGGGGTTGGAAACTTTTGTGGTCTCAGAAAATCCTGCATCAGTCATTTCCAAGGATGAAGTACTCTGGGAAGAGGAAATAAAAGCATTTTTTGATGGGGACATTTCTGTCACCTCCATAGGTCTAAAGGTTTTTCCCAGAGAGGTGGTCATCTGATCTTTGTCAGAAGATAAGGTGGAGATGCCAGTCACCAACTGAGTGGAGGCTGGTATGTTAAGATACGTGGAAGAGTGAGAAGTGTGGACATCTACTGAGGCAGTAAGTTTGCTGGCAGAGGTGTGCAAAGGTATTGTGTCAGCAACAGTAACGGTCTCTGTGGTGCCAGGAGCCAAGCTAGCAACATCTCCACCACCACTGAAAGTGAACGGAAGGCTAAGAGCAGAGGTAGATGATTCCTGCACTTGTAATATGGGTTGAGTTGCTACTGGTGTAGACATAGTTGAGATCACATGAGTAGAAGACACAATAGGAATATTGTCAGCAGGAAGTTTTGAGCAGACAAGAGTGTGTGCAGATGGAGTTACTGTGTCACCTGAGGTGGAGGGAAATGTGGCCTTGGTCTTGGTTGTGGTAGGAATGGGGGATCTCAGCAAGGGGACTAGAGTTTCTGTCTGAGAGGGAACTGCCATGGGTATCATTGTGGTAGAGATCACTGTGGCCTCTGAAGTGGTATGAATTGAATCTGTCTCTGTAAGCATGATGTCACTGGTCATAGAAGCTGTTTGACTCAATGGTGGCACCAATGCTGAAGTCATTGTAGCTAATGACAGGTTTGAGACATCTAAAGGCAGAGATGTGGAAAAATCCATAGCCAGCTTAGAAGTTATAGGGGTAGTTGCCTTAGTTTCACCAGATACCACCATGGAGGTGACAGGAGAGACAGTAATTGGCAGTGAGAACATGTGGGTAATAGGCATATGAGTTGCTGCAGTCTTTAGGGGCAAGGTAGTGGAAGACAAGGACATAGCTGTCCTGTCTGTAGAGGTTCCTGTTATCCTTGTGGTGAAAGTGTGCAAGGGTTCAGGGAACATCTGGGTACTCTCAGGAGTGGGAGATAGGGCTAAATGCCCCTCGGATGTCTCTGAAATCCGATGGGCTGTATAGGTGTGGGTCAAATTAAAGATTTCTGTAGTTCCATTGTATGAACTCTTACGCGTGGTTTTCATCAATGTTGTCAAAAGCCAACTCCCTTCCTGCTCAGCAGTTGCAGTTTTACTGTCCAATGAGGTAGTCAACTTTTCTGCACCAGGGAAAGGGGAAACAGTGACAGAAGCTGATTCATCTGTCACTTCCAGCGCTGTTGGAAACAAAGAAATTTCAGATACTACTGCTATAGTTGATCTTCCTTCAAGATGGTGGGAAGTCGTTTCTTTAGTTGTCATAGCATCACTGGATCTTTGTGTTGCTGCAGATGTTGGTACAAGGGCTGTTGTATCACCAAATGCACTTGTACCATCTGTTTCTAGGTGTATAGTCCCTAAAGTGCTGTCCTCAGTAGAGAAATTCAGTTTAATGTCAGCAAGGGTAGATCCTATATCTGCTGGTGAGACAGCTGTCTCCCCAGGTGTAGAAGGAAGTTCATTTGCAGCTACTGTGGGTATAGGAACGGTTTTTAGTAAGGTTGTGAGTTTAAATTCAGGAAGACTGGTTACAGATGTGGTTCCAGAAATGGTGGAGAAATTAGCAAACCATGGAGATGTCAATTTGGATAGAGTTGTTGTATATCTGACTCCAGTCGCATCAGTGCTAGTGATGGCATTGCTTTCCATGGATGATTCCAGTGGTGTGATAAGATTAGTAGCTGTGGATGAATTTTCTGTGTTAGTAGTATTTGCAAAGAATGCTGATGTGACATTTTCATTAGGCACAAATGTAAGTACGGTGGTTGCATTAATAGATGTCAGCAGAGTTTGGTCTGGCCTAGAAGACCAAGTGGTCTCCTTGGAGGAGAACCAATGGGCCGTTTCAGCAGTTAAAGATGTGGGGCCTAATTCAAATGCCTTGGGTGTGGAAGCTGATATAGTGGAAATCAAAGTGAACATGTGGTCATCAGCTGAGGGTGTATTCTGGGAATGTACTGGCTCTGTGACTGTGGGGGAGGTCGTAGTTTCAGTCACTGGTGGTGCAAGTGTGATTCCAAGAGTGAAGGTTGTGTGTGAACTCTCAGCATTGATTCCTGTCTGTACACTCTGAGTTCCAGTAATTGGAAAGGATGTCATGGGAGAAAGGGACGTAGAAGAGGTCTCTTGTGGCATGAAGGTAGATATGGCATCCTCCACATGGGGTGAAGAGGCATTCTGGAAGTTTGTAGATGGCAACTCTGTTTCTGCTGCAATTAGTGGAGATGGAGTCTCAGTAGGCATCACTGAATGAATTGTAAATGCTATTTCCTTATCGGTTGTTGCCAATGTAGATACTGTCTGATTTCTAGGAAATACAGAATCCACAGAAGCAGCTGTGGAGTTAAGCAGAGACTTGGGTGTGAATGCTGATGTAGTCCTAATGCTGGTAGTTTTACCTGAAGTCTCTCCTGTGGACAAAGGTACAGTTCCAGCAGCTGTAGACACAAGAAACTCTTGTCCAGAAGTAGAGATAGAGGGTACCGTAAAATCAGTAGATTTTTGTTTTGGCCAAGACGTTGTAGACATGGATGTTGACTCAATAGTTGAAAATAAAGATGCTGTCTTCATAAGGACTGACTGAGATTCAATTGCTGAAGTTTTGGGTGCAACTGAATTCTCAGTAAATCCAGATGTGGAAAGGAAATTAGTAGCTGTAGTTGGATGAAAAGTCTTAGTGGCCATGGCTTCCACTATTTTTGTTGTCCTTCTGATTTCTAAAGATGGAGATTTAGTTATTTTCATGGAATCAGTGGCATTGCATACGGATGTACCCTGGGTAGGCAGAGTCATGGCTGCAGAAGTAGATGAAGCATCTGCTGCAGAAGTAGCTGTTTTAGCTATCGAAGTTCTTAAAATTTTTGATGTAGCTGTTGTTTCCGAAGGTGGCAGTGTTATATTGGAATATAATATGGTTGTATAATCAGTTGCAAATATAGGCATACTTTTAGATATCACAGCAGAGTAATATGCAGTCTTTTGTGGTTTTAGTCCAGTAACTTGGGAAGGAGTTGTCAACTGTACTTGTTGTGACAGAGTTGTACTTCTTTCTTGAATTGTCATATTTTCTGAAACAACTGAAAGATCAGAAAGCGTGGGTTAATCTGGACTTGGTGTTAGAAATCAGATAATTCTTTAAGAAATAACAGTATGATTTCTTTTCATTTTTAAGAGATAAATATCACAGATATAATCAAGTTGCTTGATTACTTAATTTCTCTCAGAAGATGTTCTACTTTGTAAAATCTCTATAATACTTCTCATTATATTCTGGTTACATAACTAGTGAGAGGAAATCTATTTCATAGTAACTTTGTCTAAGATATGAGAATTCCTAAAAGCACAATACATACTAGAATGGTATACTGATTAAGGGGATTAGCTTTAGGAAAGGGACCAAGTCCCTCAAAGACATAGCTATCAAAACAACATAAGAAGAAATAACTTGATTAGTTCTATGCCTATGAATGAAATTGAATTGCATAAAGTCTTCCAAAAACGATTAGCTTTGAATTCAAATAGATGTAGTTTTTAATCTTGGCTACATCACTTGTTTATCATATAACCCTATACAATTACTTAACCTCTCCATGCTTCAGTGTCCTCCTCTGAAATGTAAGGGTTATGATAACCTCTACCTTAAAAACTGCCATGAGACTTAAGTGAGCTTATTTATATATATATAACATCCAGTGTGATGCCTGGCACAGAGACGTGTCAAAAAATAATAGACATTAAATTTGTCAATTTTCTATCATTCTTTTGAATGTAATAGTTGAAAATGTGTTTAAATTTCTTGAACTCATAGCCCATGAGGTATATTGATAAATACACATTTATCAATAACACACACATGTATGTTATAACTTGTATTATGTACATATCCTTGTACACAAAAAAGGAAATTTTGAAAAGATGTGACAGAATAAATAGAAGTAGTAATTGTGATATTTTCTCTCTGCACTCTAGCAGATTCTCTGTGCACCCCATGGGGCTGTGTGTGTCTGGCTCTGAAAGCCAGTGGAGCCGACCTTATCCTCCCATTCAAACCAGCTACACTTAACAAGTATCATGCGTACAATTCTAAGTCCTGTGAGAAATGCATAGATCTATAGTTTGATTGTTTTCCTCAAAGAATGCGTATCCATATTGGAAAAGATTTATAGTGCTGAAATACTTTTAAACAGAAGATTAAAAAAACACTTAAAAGCAAGATAATAAAATAGTGATAAAATTTACAATAAAGTGAACAGTGGAATACAATCAAGCTCCAAATGCTTTCAAAGTGCAGTAGGAAATCAGATCAGTGAAACAGTAAACTGGCTTCAGGCTAGTGAGGAGGCTTTCTCTTAGAAGATGCACACCTTGGAGAAAGGATGGGCTTTGAGTAGAGGAGGCGAGGACACATGGCTTCGAACATGGAGGTAGTCACAGATCAGTCTAGCTGGGAGTGGGAGAGAGTGCGTTGAACAATGAGGAGAAGGAATAACAGATTAGGAATGGATCTGAAGGGGAAGTTGTGGACACAGATAAGAGAAGGTGATACAGTTGCTTTTATGTATTGAGTACTTACTACGAGCCAGGCACAGAGCTGTATATTGTCTCATTTAATCCACCTGACTTTGTATAGTAAATATTACAGTTATCCCCACTTTAGAGCTGAAGAAATAGAGTCTCAGAAATTTCGCATGAGTTGCTCAAGTTCATACCTGGAATTCAAACCAAAGCTTATTCATCTGTACTCTAAACCACTACATCATTTGAAAGACTATGGATTCTTGAGCAAGAAGAATGGGTTGATTTTTTAAAAAGCAGTGCTGAAGAAACATGCATTTCATGGCAGCATACAGGATGGGTAATGGGAAGAGACGAAAGACAAAGAGACTTTCAGATGCTGGTAGTATCCGCCTTTGTCACTCTCCCCCCACCAACTCTGCATCAGTCCTACTGTGCATATCCTTTGTACCTGTGCTTGAGCAATCAAGCATTGCTGGCCAGTCACACAAAAGGATAAATTCATGTTTCTATAAATTCATTGCCACTAACCTCAAATAAGCCTTTCTCTCTGCCCAGCCATCCCACTACTTTTCTCTGGTCAATTTGTACTCCTACTCTGCAATAATTCTTTCACACCTTCCCCACCCTCAAACTCCACCCCCACATGTTTATCTAATAATCATCCCTCCTACTTCAAAGGAAAAAGTAATTGAAATCATCAGATAGAAACTCAACTGTGCTTTAGATCCCATCACCTCCTGCCCTTTCAGAAACCTTACACCATCAATTATCATCTCCTTTCCCTAATGAGCTTCTCCGTCCTGATTTAACACATGTTCCAGTCTCTTGAAATAAAAAAAATCAAAACTTTATATCCCCCTGAAGGCACTTCCGGCTCTTTGCTCCCATCACAGCCAAATTCTTTCCAGAAAGTTTTTCTGTATTTACTGCCTCCACAGTTCTGGCCTCTCTTCTATGTCTTTTGCAGACTGTTCTACTGGCTAAGACTTTGACCCAGCCTCCTGTTCTCTTCTCACTCTAGTTTCTCCAAAACTAGGGTTTCATGAATTTACACCTATGCACAAGTGAATCTCAAAGTTCTATCTCTAGAACAGATCTCTAGTTTGAGTTCCACATTTTTACAACCAATCGTTTACCTGACATCATCTCTTGAATAACCCATCCGTATCTCAAAGTCAAATGCCCTAACTTGGACTTGTTATATTCTCTCTAAGCTGGGTCTTCTTTAGATATTATTTCACTAAATTGTGCCACAGTACATTGAATTACACAAGCCAAACCCTCCACTCTGTACCTTTCTCCTCTATTCTTTCACACATCTTCCATAGCTAACCCATAATCTTGTCTGATAGAAATTACTTCTATGCATCTCTTGACTCTCAATTTCTGTCCATCTCCATCACTTACCACCCTGACCGGGCCACCTTCATCTTTCATCCAGACTATTGCAGTAGCCTCCCAGTTGGACTGTCACTATTCTTGGTTCCCTCCGATCTACTTCATTATACAACCAGAATGACTTCTTCAAAATGCAAATCTGACCATCACACACACACACACACACACAGAGATCCCTCTGCTGGTTTTCCATTGTTCATAGAATTAAATGAAAGCATTGTAATAGAGCCTGTAAAGCTATATACGCTTGATATATACTTACCTCTCCAGTGTCAGTCTGTGCTAGATCCCACTCTTCTCAGCCCACAACCTCCTTTCAGTCTTCCAGTATTTAGCCCTCTGCTTCTACCGCAAAGGCATTGCATGTTCTGTTGCATCTACTTAAAATGTTTTCCCTTCATTTCTTAATTTAATTTCTATTCATCCTTCAGATCTCAACTCAGGCATTACTTCCTCAGGGAGGCCTATCTTCTCCCACCTCCATAGCTAGCTCAGACTAATCTATTCAAGATTATTATGACACCTCATACCTCTTCCTCATAGTACTTGTAACAGCTGCAGTTTTACATGTGTATGTGCTTATTACTGTCTCCTTCCTCGCTAGGTTGTATGAATAAGCACCTCATCTTTTGTTTCTCACCATGATATCCTCAGTCTCTGATATAGGGAAAAGCACATGGTAGATGTTCAGCTCATCTTTTTTTAGGCTAACTAAATAAATGGCTATAAGGAGGACATGAACTGATCATAGCTGTGTGAGTTTCTGATCCTATTGCTATCAGAAAAAAAGAACAAATAAGGTATGGTAACAAAGAGGTTTAAGAAATAAAGACAGAGAAACTTTGGAGAACTCCAATTTTGCTTTTGGGAATAGATAATAGTGGTGATATTCACAGAAATGGGAAAATTTGGAAGACAGCCTCACTCAGAAGAAAAACACCCAGTGCGGACTTGGATAAGCGGAATTTGGGATGAGGATGGAACATCTAAGCAAAAACAGTGCAGAGTAAAATTCAAAAGTGAGCCATAATATTCCTTCAATTCAAATCACCCAAAATAAAACCATGCATATTTAACTTAGAGAAATTAGCATTTTGAATTTATCCACCTGAGCAGCACATTACCTATTGACATAGGAATATTTGTGGTAGTAGATAATCGACTAACTTATTTCACTGTCTTGCACAGTAAAATTGTTTTTAATTTGCATATCGAGAGATTCTGAAATATGTGCAGGATGTTCTTTAGGATTCTGCAGTCATTAACAAGTAAAATGAGTGACACTCAGAAACCTGCGACTGACTATATAGGTGAATTGATAAAAATACATATATTTATAGGGCCAAAAGTCAAAGTCATATAAGCAGGATTTTTTCAATTTTTACAGCATTGTTTCAATCACCAGAGATTCACAGTCTATTATGCCTTTTTTGGGGGGGTGGAGCTGGGGATTTAGCTCAGTGGCAAAGCGCCTGCCTGGCAAGCGCAAGGTCTTGAGCTCAGTTCCCGGTACTGGAGAAAAAAAAAAAAAAACACAGTCTATTATGCCTTGTTAATAAACCAGTGTCTTTCAGCTGCCCAATATTTATATCAAGCTCTCTGCTTTTAAATATGTCCAGAACTGCAACTAAAAAGAGAATTAGTGTGTTGGTTTCCATTTTCCCAAGTGGGTTTTTAAAAATTCCAGCCAAATGGCTCTGCAAACCTCTGTTAAAGTGTTGCTTCTAGCATATGTAAGAAATGTAGAATCACAGAGCCTGAATCACTCTCTATAAATATACTAATTGTTAATAGGAAAGTTCATCATTTCCACTCCTTTACGAATGATTAATCATTGAACTACATTCACTTTTTGGGAAACAATAAAACATTAAATATCACAAAAGCCAAAGTTATCTTCTCTGTTGCAATATTTAAAAGGCACTATTGGAGTAAACTATAACAAGTAATGGGAAACTATTAGAAAATGGGATGAGAGTTAGACATGAAATTCTTTATCAGAAAAGGCAGAGCCGGGGGCTGGGGATTTAGCTCAGCGGCAAAGCGCCTGCCTGGCAAGCGCAAGGTCGTGAGTTCGGTTCCCGGTACCGGAGAAAAACCAAAAAAAAAAAAAAAAAAGAAAAGGCAGAGCCATAGATGGAACAACTGGTATCAACATTTC